GGGAAAGTAGCTTGAGGGTCCTAAAGTTTGGGTGCCCCCAACCGACCCGCCCAAAACCGAAACCATTCCCTGAACACCAAAACCCCTAAAAAACCCCAGAGGCCACACTACCGAAATTCTCCGCACCATGGTGACGATCCTCTAACCTTCAACCGGCAACCTCCCAAACAGGGCCATCTCTTCGCGTCTTCGCGTCGAGACTCGAGACACCAGACCCTTGAGGATAGGAGTGCGAGATCTTAACAATTTTTGGAGCCCGTCAAGCACCTAAGCCTAAACCCGAAGCCCCAAAACAACCTAAACCCCCAAATCCTGAACACGTTCCCTAAATCTGTATCTTTGTACATATGGTATATGGTGAGTATAATGTATATGTATACATATATATATATGTATCTACGATGATCCCTTTCTATCCCCAGAGCAAAACCCAGGAAGTTTCCGCAGCAGAAAAGGACCTTTGCGGCCCATGCGGGTCCAGGGCTCTTAACAAGCAGCCCCCCTCTTGCTGCGCAAGGCCCCTGTGCCGCTGAACCAGAGCTGAATCCCGAAGTTATACTGCAAGTACGAAGCCCGGAACCCTCTAAACCCCCTCAACCCTCTAAACTCCCTGAACCTGCTCAACCCCCTAAACCCCTCAAACCCAAACATTCCAAACCCTGCGCTTCGCCAGGGCCCCCGGGCATTTGGCAAGGCTGCCGCCGCAGAAGGCAGGGGCCGCTTGGCCCGGGAGGGCAAGGGAAGGGCGCCTCTCTTTTTGGGTTTTTCTTGGGGCTTTTGTGGTTTTGGGGTTTCTAGGGTTTTGTTGGGTTCTTTTGGGGGGGCTTTTGTGGTTTGGGGATTTGTGGGTTTTGCGTATTTTCGGGGTTTGGGGTTAAGGGTTCTGGGGCTTCTCTTTTGGTTGTTTTTGTTCGGGTTGAGGGTTCGCAGTTTAGGGGAGTTCCTTAGGGTTTCAAAAGGCCATCCTTAGGGTTTAGGGTTTAGGATGCCCAAAAAGAGGGGGCGCCTGGCTTACACAAGCCACGGCTCCACAGCGTGACTTCAGCTTCGGGGGTCTTTGGGGGGTCTTTGGTGGGTCTTTGGGAGTCTTTGGGGGGGGGGGGTTCAGAGGGGGGGGGGGGGGGTTCAGGGGGGGGGGGGGGCTCAGATTGACTTAGGTTTTTCCTGTTTGGGGGGGTTCAGGATTGACTTAGGTTTTTACATGGCTTTTTCACCTCGCTTCGTCACGCAATGCGATTGGAAGTATACTGCAGCACCAGCGACATCACAAGAACCGATACCAAGAACCTCCCAAATCCGCATTCAACATGTCAGGACATCCTAGTAAGCACTGTCATCACGAAGTCAGTCTTTGAACCCCAAACCCCCCAAACCCCCCCCCCCCCCCCTGTCCCCCCAAAAACCCCTGCCTGCTGCGGGTGCAGCTTGTGACTGCGCCTGCAGAGTTTAGAGTTTAGGGTTTAGGGTTGTGGCGCATGTCACATGACCCCAGAGCTTCCAAAGAACCCAGGCACGTCGCAGACTGAAGGCTATTCAAGGATCTGTCCTTTCGTCAGGGGCTTTGGAAGTTCTGGCGTTTGAAACCAGCCCGGCGTCCCCCTACGCCTCCCAACCGCACCTACATCCTTGCACCTCTGAGCTCGAAAACTCCAACCCCAAAAAACTGAAACGGACAAAAAACGACACCTCAAACCTCAAACCTTTCAGACTCCTAACGTGAGACCCGTGAAGCCCTCAACTCTGAGCCCTGAATCCGAAACGGCAGCTTCGAACCCGACTTGCCCTGGGTTGCAGGGTTGGCCTACGCCTTTGGCAAAGCACAGGGCTCAAGCCTAAGACCCAAACCCAAGAGCTCAAAAAGGCCCCCCCCCCCCCCCCCCTACTCCCCTACCCTAGAAGCCCTATGATTTATGAATCAAACCCGCCAAGCCGCCTCCCCCCAACTCCCCTAAGCTACCAAGCCCGAAGATGCTGAAAAGACCCTATAAAGCCCATTTCGTCGACTTGAGGATCCGACCCGCACCAAAGGCGTGGCCTGACTGGGACTTGTAGGGTTTAGGGATGCATGTTTCGGAGTTGAGGGTTTACAGAGAGGGGGTTGCATTCTTGCTCTGGGGTTGTGAGGGCTGCCGGACGCGAATTTCCTGGGCTTTGCTTTTCGTCTCTAGGCTCAGGGGTTCGAGGGCTTCGTTTTAGGGCTACCCTCAGCACACCTCTAAGCGGCGAATCCCAGCCCAATATGATGGGGATGTGCCAACATCTGCTCACGAGTCTTGGTATAAGTGCAACACTCGCACTCCGCAAACCCTCACCCCTAAACCCTAAACCCTCAACCCTCAACCGTAAACCCTAAACCCCTACGAAAGAAGCCTGCGCTTGGGGGTTGCTCTTCCACTGGTTCTCCACCAGTTCGTGCCATGGCTCGTCCACATACCTGAGCTTCCCAGTATCAACACAGAGGTTTAGACCTCAAGGGTTCGAAGCCACTGAAGTAACAGGGTTCCTAGTTTTAGGGTTGAAGGGTCCTCTGTCTCTGATCGCTTCGTGCAGGACTTTCGGTTGCGGCTCAATTTAAGCTTAAGCTCCTCCCCTGACCTTAACGTCGTGTTAACACCCACGCCCTCCCCAAAACAAAATCTACAGCCCCTTGTTTCAGGATCATGTTGTGAGGTCCCTGTACTTTTTGTTTCGGCGCGACGGCCTCAGGAACTCAAATCGTGGTAGGTCCTCCAAGAACCCTCAACTAAGGGGTACTTCTCAAAAAGGGTGCGAAGAATCCTTTCCTTTCATTTCGGGCGTTGGAGGGCTCATTTGGGACTATGGGGTTCTCAAGGCTTTAGGGCTTTTTGCAGCTTCGGCCAAAGGACTCATCAGGGGTTTTGAAGGCATTCGGGCCCCCCTTAGTTGAATGTCGGGCCCCCCTTAGTTGAATGCCCCCCCCCCCCCCCCCGCCCCCCAATGAAGTGACCCTAAACCACAAAACGCTAAACCCTAAACCGTTTAGGGTTTCAGGACGTTCGGACGGAGGATTCCTGTGTTCTTGCCAGTTGCTGTAGGTCAAAAACCCTGTCCCCTAAAACTCCCAAACACTCGGGTTTATGCTGTACGGGTTTGGGTTCCGGGGTCCAGGATCCGAGGGCCAAAGCCCTGGGAGTCGAGCCCGCAGGCTTTCTTGGGTGCTGATCTGCCAGGGAGCTGGTAGGCGCAACCCAGCATCTCGCCTTGCTGCGCCTTGTTCCAGGGAGCTGTGTCAAGGACCCTGCACACTAAACCAGACTGTTTGTTGCCATCATTGTTGGTAGGCTGCCCAGCAACCTACGAACAAAAAGGGGTGGCCCCCTGTCGTTTTGAGGGGCAAGGAATCCTGAGCCTAGACCAGCTAGCCCCCAAAGCATCCTAAGCCATGTATCCTAAACCCTAGTGTGCTTCCCTTTGTGTGGGGATTTCAGGCTGCAGTTCGAGGCCCGGAGGCTGGGACTCCGATTACTTCGTTGGGAAAGCCGATGTTTGGCATCCTAAAGTCTGATAGTTTGGAAAAGCTAAAGCCAGACCTGTAGGATCCCACAACAGTCCCCCGCACAGAACACGATACCCCTGCTTCGTGTTCTTCTTCTTCTAGCCACCTGAACCTACCAGTTAGCAAAGGCACCTTGCCAGCCATTCCAAAAACTCTGCTTGTAGTGTCCCAAGTCACAAACTGCACTGCAATGGGACCCATTTAGGCAATAACAATCAAGTTCAACACTCGCCTCGAAGTGCAAGCAACACGAAGGGCTCAGTGATGCTTTCCCCCTTCCCCCCTCCGCCCACCTGCATCAGCAAGTCAACTCCATGCTCCATCTTCGGGGTGATCACCCATCGGTGGTCCTCGCCACAGGCCATGCGAACTTTGTGTGCCTTGTGTTGGGTTTGGGTCTGGGGGAGAAGAGTTCTGGGGTTTGTGCTTCATGACATCAGCCATCCCTCCTCCGGTCCCCCAAACCCGAACTCCTGCAATCTAAGGGCTTTCTTCTGAGAGAGTTTGCGCTCCTCTGCAAAACTTAACAAGGCAGGACCCCGAATGTTTCGCCTAGGGCTTGCAGAGAGGGATAACAGGGTCCCCGTAAGCCTTCTAGGCACCGTTTACCACAAGATTCCCAAGCAACAAGGGACCCTAATTGGGAACAAGCCCACAGTCAACCCCGTGCCCCAAAGAGTGTCGCTGTCTTTTCGTTCTGCACAGGCGAAAATCCAGATGATGCCAGCATTCAAATTCCCTCCATGCCCGCCTGAAGCCTTATACACTTATACGCATACTGGCACCTACATTCAAAAAGCGCCGAAGCGCCGAAGCGGGGGACTTCGCACTTGCAATTCCCTCAGGTCTTGTTTCACAACCTTCAAGCGCCAACCCTATCAACCCTATAAAACCTATAAACCCTAAATCCTAAAATCCTGGAGGTCTCAGTCATGGGGCCCTTGGCTGACATGTCTGGAAACAAGCGGCGGATGCCGTCCGGTCAGGCCACGGCAGGCGACTTTGGCCGCACGTGGCGCAGCACACCGCCAGGCTGGGGATGGCGGAGCTTATACGGGCCGGGTTTAGGGTTTAGGGTTTAGGGTTTAGGGTTTAGGGTTTAGGGTTTAGGGTTTGGGGTTTAGGGTTTAGGGTTTAGGGTTTAGGGGCTGTTTGCTTCTGTTCAAGGGTAATTTTTTGGAGGTGTGACCAAGGCAGAAGGGGATGCCGTTGATAAAAACTCATCGCTATAGGCTGTTGCCCTAAAATAAGAGGGGCCGCCTTCTCGTAAGGACTCCCAAAGACCCATAGTTTAAAGAAGTGACCCATTACAGCCTAGTACTACTTAGTTGTCCAGTACCTAGGGGTTTTAAAGGTTAACCTTTGGGATTATAAGGGGAATATATTAACCCAAAAAGGTTGAAGGTTACCTACCCTCCTACTAAGACTAAGGGGTTTTCAGCACCCCTGAACCCACCACCTGGCCTATGTGCGTCGGTTCTTCTCACACCATCGGGCTAACAGCCTTGGAGAAACTTTGAATATGGGTTTAGGGTTTAGGGTTTAGGGTTTAGGGTTTAGGGTTTAGGGTTTAGGGTTGAGGGTTAGGGCCCTACATCCTAAACCCTGATCCCTAAACTCTGAACCCTAAACCCGAAATCCTAAACCCTAGCCCTGAAGCCCTACACCCCAAGGCCCCCCATGAGCCCCAACGATCTCTCCCAAAACCGTTTAGAGTCTTACGATTTAAGGCACATTCACAGCTTCTTTAAGCTTCTTGTTCTCGCAGTTTCCCTCTGAAGGGGAAGCATGACACCCTATTGAAGACCAATGGTTTACATGTTAGAAACCCTAAACTCTAAACTCGAAACCCCTTTGTATAGGACAGTTTAGGCCTCGCTGCTTCGCGAGGTTTCTGGCTCTACAGTAGTGGCCTTGTCAACAGCTTACCTATCCTCTCAATTCGAAGCATGATTTGGGATGTTCCCCCTTATACTAACAGTCCTTAATAGGGATTGCAGTACCCCCTATGATAGTCCCGTCCCTATTAAGGACTGTTAGTATTTGGGGGAACACCCCAAAGCATGGTAAACATGCTATATAAGAGTCCTTTGGGCTTTGTGTAACGAATACAAAAACAAAAGTCAAAACACACACCATATATGGCTACAGAAATGTCTGGCTCCCCACGCCCACAAGTGGCAACTAAATTCCTCCGGGCCCGAAGCCCTTTTGTGAAGGGCCTCTTGAAGGGAATCAAACACCAACAAGGGGAAACCGAGACTCACTTATGCTTTACTGGGGCATTTTGGAATTAGGCTCCTTATGTAGTTCGCTCAGGGAGGTATACGGCGCCTAGCTCCCTGATTGTCCAGCACGCACCTACCACCTGCCCTTGGGCAATGACAGTGACTGAAGAATGGAAGCTACAGCCAGTAGCTGGGCTCCAGGCAACAGCGGTGATGCCCAACTCCTGCAAACCTGACATCAACCCCTAAACCCTAAACCCAGCGCCATTCGGTGTAGGATTCAAGGCTTACAGCGGGTCAGGGGTTTGGAGGTTGAGGGTTGTCAGGGGTGTTGAGGCTTAGGCACTAGAGAGGTTTAGACGCCTAAACCCTGAACTCACCGCCCAAACACCCTCAGACCCATGAACTTTAAAGGTTCCCCAGCATGACGATCTCCAACATGACGGGGTCATGTTCTGCCCCCACCTGGAGTGGCCCCCGGATGCCCAGAACGACCAAAACTCCCTTGTTTAAGGAATATCCCCTGCATCATGCCGGAATCCTTCATATACAAAGCTACTGAAGCCCAAAGTAGGACCCCCTAAACCCAAAACAACCCTAAGACCCTGAACCCACCAGAACACCCCCCGCCGCGCCCCCGGCCCCCCTTGCGCACCTCGTTTCATGATGGCGGCGAGGTCCTTCCACTCTTGGAAGTCAATGCCTTTCAGAGGGTTTTTTCGGGCTTTGGGGTTCTGAGTTTAGGGGCCTGGATGTTGACTTTCATGGTTGCAGGATCGTCGTTCAAGCCCCTTCTTGGGTTTCAACGAGGGGCTCAAGGCGTTGGCTCGGGTCGAGGCTCTGAAACTCGTATCCTAGCAATGATGGTGGATGCAGGTGGTGGTGAGAATCACAATGACAGCGACATCATCTCCCACCCGGGAGACCCCCCCCCCCCCCCCCCCAAAAGCCACGCTACGTAACCCCTAAACCCCTAAACCCCTCAACCCCCTAAACCCCCCGAACTTCCAACCCCTAACCCCAAAAAAACCCTTCAAGAACCCCTCAAGCGTAAACCCTAAACCGTTCATGGGTGTTGGATGTAGGGCTTCGGGAGCTTGAGATATGGAGCTTAGGGTTTATGATGGGAAATAGGGCTTTGGGTTTAAGACACAGGGATTAGGGTTTAGGAGGATGTAGGGTTTTGGGTCTAGGATATAGGGTTTGAGGTTCAGGATCTGGGGTTTGGGCTTCAGGATTCCGGGTTTCGGGTGTGTTTCGGGTCTTTTTTGTCTTGGGGCAACTTCAACAGCGGAAGGGCGTTCTCAGAGACCCGCCAGCCTCGGCCGGGAATGAGCGCCCGAGCGCGTATCTCATCCTGGGCTGGACGTCGTTGCGCTCTAGGGGCTAAGGGCGTGCCGTAAGATGCCCTGCTTGGGAGGTCTAGGGCCCAATCTGAGAGCACAAGCGGGTTGAAGCGTTGTGAGAGTTGGATTTGGCGTGGCTGGAATCGCAGAAGGCTTTACTCTGCGCCGAAAGGAAGATGTTTGGGCCCAGTAGCCGGAGAACGTGACGATCTTTTGAGCCTCAAGCTTCGCCTTCGCCTACTTCAAGGTTCAAGGGGTTGCTAGAAGTAGGGTTTAGAGCTTTTTAGGGTCTATAGGGCTTACGGCGTAGCAGCTTGCTAGCTGAGAAGACCAGAAAGAAGAAAGGCCAACATCCACCAACAACATGACAGATCCGTGTATCTCCAATCCCGCAAACTCCCTAAACCCTAAACCCTAAAACCCTAAAACCCTAAAACCCTAAAACCCTAAAACCCTAAAACCCTAAAACCCTAAAACCCTAAAACCCTAAAACCCTAAAACCCTAAAACCCTAAAACCCTAAAACCCTAAAACCCTAAACCCTAAACTCCTGGAGAACCCAGTACTCTCCGGGGCCCCGGACGGAAAACTCATGCAACGCCCGCCTCAGCACAGTGCTGCGAGGCTCACGGAACATCCCAAGTCTAGGGTTTAGGGTTTAGGGTTTTAAGGTTTAAGGTTTAGGGTTTAGGGTCTAGGGTTTAGGGTTTAGCGGTCTAGGGTTTAGGGCTTAGGGCTTGAGGGATCGAACCCTTTGGGACTCAAGCGTGGGAGGGATTTCAATGTCCAGGCTTCGTGCGTTTGGGGCAAAGTCTACGCAACTCGAAGTAGCTGTCAACCAATCTCTTTTAAGGGATCCCTGCGAGATATGTAAGCCCGCACAAAGCCCTAAAAGCACGAACGCTTCCAAGCCTCAAAGCCACGCCCGCGTCCTCCAAACCTTATAAGCCCTACGGCCTCATATACGCGCCTTTATGATTTGAATAGGCTTTTTTTTTGGGGGGGGGGAGGGGTCATTATAGTATAAATATAGAGGGACCATAAGGGAACACCATTCGTAAATATTCCGACCCCTGTAATAAACCCTAAACCCCACAACCCCTAAAAGCGCATTGTGGGCTTCAGCGGCTTCTCCTGAGATCCCCGCAACTGCTTCGGGGCTGGCGCCTTCATCGGGGGACCGCACAAGGCTCAAAGTTTCGTGTTTTCAGGGTTCAGGGTTTAGAGGTTTAGGGCAAGGCTCAGGAGAGTTTAGGCTCAGAGTTGCGTGTGAGGGGTTCAAGGTTGGGGTTTAGGATTTATGGCTTTAGGGTCGGGGTTTCTGAAGGGATATGAGGAGGGACCCACCCTACATTACCCCTAAGGTCCCTTTCAAGGGCCCCTCCTTCAGTCCCATGGGTTTCGGGTGTTGGGTTTCTCAAGGTCCTCAGTAAAAACCGAGCCCTAGAAAGCTTGAGCTGCCTCCCGCAAACCCGCAACTTCCTAAACCACAAACCCTCCGGCAGTGGGTTCAGGGTTCAGGGTTTGGGGGACCCCCAGGGTACTTCCAGTCCATGCTGCTGTCGACTGCCCTCCTCGCTCGATTCCCCGGCAAACAATGAGAAACAATGAGCACCCGGTTTTTGTTCCTTTGAAGTTTGGGAAGTCGTGTGGAAGTAGTGTCCTGGTCAGCGTTCCTTCCAGGGTTGTGGGGCTTAGGCGCAGCTACCGAGATGCGGTGTTCCATTCTTGGAGGACCTACTCTCAGGGTTCATGTAAGATACACAGATGGTTAGGGTCCCGAAACTCCAAACCCTACATCCTAAACCCTAAACGCCTTTGACCCTAAACCCTAAGCCTTAAACCCTAAACCCGAAACCCCTTGAAGGTTCGCATACGGCGCGGCCTGCGGCTGCCTCGCAGTCATGTCTTTGATGACCGCCAACGCCATCCAGTCCTGCGAGGCGGCAGCGACACGGGTTTAGGGTTTGGGGTTTGGGGTTTGGGGTTTAGGGTCTCGGGTTTAGGTTTAGGGTTCGGGGGTCGGGGTTCGGGGTTTGGGGTTTGGGGTTGGGGGGTTCGGGGTTCGGGGTTCGGGGTTCGGGGTTCGGGGTTCGGGGTTCGGGGTTCGGGGTTCGGGGTTCGGGGTTTGGGGTTTGGGCTGAGGCTCCGAGGCTTTGAAAAGCCTCGATGGGTTATTTGGTCACCCGAACCTCCAACAATCATGGATTCTATGCCTATCACCTCATGAATGTTGTACTGTAGGGCTCTTGAGCTATAATACTCACTCAATGAGATGTGTTCAGGTGTAGGGAGTGAAAGTGCTTGGGGAAAGAGATCCCCCCCCCCCCCCCCCCCCCCCCCGGGCCCCCCCCCCCCCCCCGCAAACTCAACGAGGCCAACCCCTAAACCCAAATTGGGACTCAACAAGAAAACGAACAGCACGTCATCCTGACTTGCGGAAGGACGACGCGAAACTCCAAAACAAGCCCGAAAACTGTAAGTCCAACCCTAAACCCACAAGTTCCCCCACAAGCCCTGCAGAATCCCCCTGAGCACCCGAAAGCACAAAGCACTCCTCTCGCTCGACCCTTTATTATCTAGATTGGCCCCTTTAAACCCCTCTCAAATGTTCCAAGAACAACCTCCTCTCTTAACCCCAGAAGGGCAAGTATGTGAACCCCCCCCCCCCCCCCCCCCCCCAAAAAAAAAAAAAACCTAAACTAAACCCTACAAGGCAAGGTCTAAAGCATCCCGAGCCCTGGAAAGCTCTGAATCTTCCGATCCCCAGGTGTGCCGTGTGGTCCTCGACAGGCATGGCGAACTCCTGCCTGGTTGAGGGGTTTGGATTCTAGGGTTTAGGGCCTTGGGCGTAGGGTTGCGGGTCTGGGGTTTAGGGTGTAGGGTTCAGGTTCAGGGTTTCGGTTTAGGGAGCTGAGGCGTGGCTGAGGCAGTAGGGCTTCAGGGGCTGAGGAAACCCATTGACAACCATCGGCACGCCCTGTCCCGGGTCAAGCCCCATTCGGAGTAGCTTTGGGCTTGGCCACCTGTGAGAATGGGGCAAGGTCTGAGCCGCTCGCTACTATGTTTACTTATGCTAAGAATCCTGCTGTGATTTCGGGAAACTTCTGGGTTGTGGCACCGGAGGGCTCTAGGATCAGACATGTGCTCAAACGGACTGCGCGAGACACTCCGTTTGCCTTAGCCCCAAACCCCGAATGCCCGACCCTAATCCCTATAAACCCTAAACCCTGTACCCTACTGAACCCTGAGCCCTAAACCCGAAACCCTAAACCCAACGCTCCAAAAACTCAGGGTTTCATGGCCTTGGGCTTTGTGAGGATGTTCGGGCTCAAAAAACGGTGATCGAGAGTCGACGTTCATATTCTTCAAGCCTCGAGCACCCAAAAACCTAACCTCCAAACCCTAGATCCCTTGAAGCCCTAAGGCACTAAACCCTAATAACCCACCTCAGCCCTATATCCCTATACTCGAAAAACACACCCCCGCCCATTCTAAACCCGAGAAGCCTAAAGCCCCACTTCAGCCCTCAGACCTAATACGACCCAAAGCCCTGAACCCTTGGCCCTAAACCCTAAACCCTAAACCCCAAACCCTAAACCCCGAACCCTAAACCCTACATAAACCCTGTGGCTCAGCTCCACGCATGGCAAGTTGGAGGGCTTCGTACTTTGGGTCCGCCAAAAGGCCTTAGGGTGGAATCCAGGGGTTTAGGGTTTCGGGTTTCGGGTTTCGGGTTTAGGGTTTAGGGTTTAGGGTTTAGGGTTTAGGGTTTAGGGTTTAGGGTTTAGGGGTTTAGGGTTTAGGGCAAAACGCGTTGGGAGGTTAGGGGCTTTAGGGATGGGTTTTTGTTCGGGCTTGCTTCTTGGGGACCTTGGTCTCTCTAGTACTTCGTAAGAATACGAAAAATGTAGTATCAGATAAACAACTAAAAGATGCTGCATTGAATATTGTGTCTTTATTTGATGAGCACGAATTAACATGTGTTTCAGATATAAGAGATGTGATATTAAAAAGATGGGTATGTGAATGGAACCTTCTTTTTACTGGAGTACCAGAAGGTGTAAGTGGAGTAGGTAATCATGGAATTCGTATTAATATTCATCACAATATTGGGTATCCGAAAGCAGAAGCACCAGATTTTTCGTACCAGTTGGAAGAGATTCTTGGGGGACTCTTCAAGGGGTTAAAGACCTAGGGCAGAAAGCCGCACTTGCCGGGTAGAGACGACGGCTGCATGTCGAAAAGCCTAAACCCCCTCTGATTCGCATGCGTCAGCCAAGCCCGAAACCTAAACCCTAAACCCGACGCTTGCCGAAGATGGTCTCAAAGACCCTCCGCTGAAAGTCAAAAACCTTTCACATGGGCTCACAGTGGCCTCGCGTGAACTCTTAATGTTGCTTGTCAACACTAGCCTGAGCCTTACCCCTTGCGCTTCTACAAAGGCTTAGGGGATATGGGCATTCCTTAGCTCAAGGTTTTGGAAGTTCTGAACAAACAACCAAAACCCTAAACCCTAACCCCTACGCCCTTGAAATCCCATGGCATCCAACTTGTACTTCTCAGGCCCCCTGGCGCCAAAGAAGCAGAGGTGCTCCGGGCTTCAGCACCTTAAGTTTCTTGTGTTTGGGGTTTAGGGTTTAGGGGTTTCGGGGTTGAGGGGGCTTGGGGGGTTTAGGGGGTTTAGGCTTCTAGGCGTGGGGTTTCGGATTTATGCGCGGGATTTGGGAGGGATTGCCTGGGCAACTTAGGGGGTTAAGGCTTCCAGGATTGGGGTTTCGGATTTGTGTGCGAAGTTTAAGGGGGCTCTCCGGGCTTGCCCTGGACCCTCAGCCCGAAAATGTATTTCAGGGTAAGGGGGTGTTTGTCCTAAGAAGGAAAAACTCCTGGGTTTCGACCCTAAACCGTTTGGTGTCGGCCTGGGGTTCAGGGCACAGCACCACGGAGACCCATGCCCCAAGTGTGTGAGGCCAATCTGGGGCCGGCCACGTTGTCCGCCAGAAGCACGGCCCCGGGGTGCAGCAAACCTGCACCTGGTCTACGATTGCTTGGAAACCCCCCCTAAAATCAACAAATCTTCCGATTATAAGCGCAATACAGGGATTACACTCTCACACTTGTTTGCGGGGATTCTGAAGCACATGGTAGTGATTCAACCTTAGGGCCCAGGAATTGGGTGCCTCAATTGCCTGGGAGGGCACGGGGGCTTCAAAGTTCGTGAGGGTTTAGGGGCTTTATCACTCCCCCCCCCCTCCCCGAACCCCCATGTGCATAGGCCCCTCTGACTTTCGAGCCTGTGACCCTAAACCTTAAACCCTAAACCCTCAACCCTCAACCCTCAACCCTAAACCCTAAACCCTAAACCGGGATTTAGACAGGGTTCCGGGTTTCTGGGGTTCATTCGGGCCGCTCAGGGTGGGGTAGGGTTTGTAGGCTCGCAGCCCAAGGACTTCCACAAAGACAGCCCACAGACACAAATGCCAAGAGCCCAAAGGACCCCCTCTGAGAGCTTCCCTAAACCCTAAACCCTAAACCCGAATCCTCGAAGAGTGGGCGGAAGTTTGCCCTTCTGGGTCGGAGGCTCTCCAAAGCGTGCAGGTCTTCGTGGTATAGCCTTGAGGCGCATTTTCTGGGTTTAGGGTTTAGGGTGGTTTAATGGTTTAGGGTTTAGGGTTTAGCTCAAGGTTCAGGGCTTTGGGGTTTAATGGTATGGCCTTCGCACGCGTTGCTTTTTGGATGACTTCAGTCTTGCAGGCTTCGGTGGTCGCCAGGGCGCATGGACAGATTGGAGGAATGTAGGTGGTTAGGCCTCCAGGACACACACGAAACCCGCTGAAGAGTTTAGGGTTTAGGGTTCCCACTGCAAAATGCCACTTGGGCTTAGAGGGTTGAGGATCCATTTATAACACTTACTCTCTAGAGAAAGGGATCTCCCATTTCTGGCGTTGGGCAGTTCATCCGGGACAAAAACCCTAAACCCCAACCCCCAAACCCTAAGCCACAAACCCCTAAACCCTAAACCCCCTTAATCCCTAGACCCTAAACCCATGAAGTAGGGCTTCATATTGAGGTGTCTGTGTGTCTCAACCACTCCTTTTTGTTCTACCCTATGCAACTTCGTAACTTCTACCGGAGTAGCTATCCCAACATCGGGCCACGCGTTTAGATCAACCTTCCTCTGAGTTGGAGGCTTGGCGTGCTCTGAGCGCCGAACGAACCTCGCTGGTCCATGAACACGAACCCGAAAGTGCCGGGCCTCTTTGCTGATCAGGGCTTAGGGTTTAGGGTTTAGGGTTTAGGGTTTAGGGTTTGGGGTTTAGGGTTTAGGGCTTCGGGTTGAAGGGGTGATGGAATTGAAGACTTTGGGCGGGAGGCTCTTTAGTGGCGCATGTAGCTAGAATGTTTCTTGGGGCACTGTACTAGTAAGTTATGAAGCTGTGGAAGTTCACGAGCCGTGAACCTTCAAGAAAGCCAGGAGGTTTCGACTCTGGGTGGGACCGTGTGGAATTGCGGTTTAGGGGTTCACCCGATATATAGGCAAAAGGAGGACCCTCATTTAGAGAACTGGGTGTCTGCCCCATTCTCCTGAATTTCCAAGCAACTCCGGCCTGTAGTGCGCGGAGAGCTGCGGCAGCCTTCGGGTTGGGTGGAGGTGAAGCTTGCAGTGAATTGCGGGCTCTTTGCTGGTTGGAATCTTTACTTTAGACGATATATATATATATATATCCTGCAATAAGTTCTAGATCAACCCTACGTATGGACAGCTTCATCTGGATCGGCACTTGCCACTCTGTGCCATATGAAAGTACCCGACGCATCCGGACTTTGTGGGCTCTTGCTGGCACTGGAAGCCTCCATTACCCCTAAACCCCTTTGCAAAGTGGGCCCCCGGAAGCCGAACAACCCTAAACTCGAAAACCTTCCTAGGCCCTAACACCCGAAACCCCCCTAAAACTTCAGGACTTAGGTTTAGGGTATTGGGTTAGGGCCTCAACCTGAAAATACCCTGCAACCCGAGACAAAAACGCAAAAGAAGACCCCCCCCCCCCACCCTCTACTGTTGAGGGCCCAGCAGATCGGTGCTGTGCCTAGCCAGAGCTTCTCGGGTTTTTGGGGCTTAGGGCTTTGGCCGGCTTGTTGTTTACCCTGTAGTCGGGCTTTGGGATGCCCAGAAAACCTAGCCAGGACACACACACACACACACAAACTTTGGGATCTCTGTTTTTTTGTCATGCAGAATGTTTCAGCGACTCCCAAAAACCTCGTAAGGGTATCAATGTGGGGTGGTAAAGTATGAAGGAGCTTCTGAGGTTGAGGCGATGAAGACTGCAGGGCTCTGACCACCATGCTAGTGGGGCGCCAAGGCACCCGCGGTGTGGTTCGCGTCAGGGCTTTCCGAAATGAGGGGCACCTTATTAGGGGTCCTTAGCAAAGGAATCCTACGCTTTTTTGGGGGGGGTCTATATTCAGGGTCCCTTATTTTCGTAAATCCTCTTCTGATCCTTACATGTTCATGCTCTATTCGTTCGCTGCTGCGCGCCTCAAGACCCCTACAGATGTTCTTCAGCCCCAAGACTCCCTCATACCTTATCTTCAGGGAAAGGGAATGGAACCGAAACCTAAACCCATAAACCCGAAACCCTAAGACTTTAAACCCTTGTCTTACAGTACGGGTTTGGAACTCAAAAGCCTAATCCTCTGATGAAACTAAACTCAGAACCCTACATCTCTAAACACAACACCCTACATCTCTAAACCCTAAAATCTCCAAAGCCCTAAACTAGGCTTGATGCGTCAAAGCCCTAAGCCCTAACCCCTAAGCCCCCTAAACCTCCTAAGCCACCACTTCTGTGGTACCTTTCTCCTGGGCGCCTTGGGACTTAGGCTCCGGCCCTGTCCACACAGTCACACTTGGTGGCTCCAGGCCTGTTGGTTTAGGGTTTAGGGTTTAGGGTTTAGGGTTTAGGGTTATAGGGTTATAGGGTTATAGGGTTATAGGGTTATAGGGTTAGGGTTATACAGGGTTATAGGGTGTCGGGTGGAAAGGGCTCGGGGCAAACACACTTCTGCGGTTTTGCGGATATGAGAAGAATTTCCGGCATCACCTGTCACCTTGAACTCTAGACCCCATAAACCAAAAAAAGGCCACCACAAGCCGTACAACACGTACGATCCCTATAAACTGCCTATAAATGCTACAAGCCCTTTTCGACCCTTGAAACTTTAAAACTGCACTCTAAACCCTAAACCCTAAACCCTAAACCCTAAACCCTAAACCCTAAACCCTAAACCCTAAACCCTAAACCCTAAACCCTAAACCCTAAACCCTAAACCCTAAACCCTAAACCCTAAACCCTAAACCTAACCCTAAACCCTAAACCCTAAACCCTAAACCCTAAACCCTAAACCCTAAACCCTAAACCCTAAACCCTAAACCCTAAACCCTAAACCCTAAACCCTAAACCCTAAACCCTAAACCCTAAACCCTAAACCCTAAACCCAGTCAGTTCCCTGACTGGCGACCTCTGCCAGGAACCGTGACAGGAATCACAAGGATGGCCCTTCAAACCCCTCTGAAAAGATTCCTGGATATGATCCTCTCAAACCGAATAAGGTTTAGGGTTTAGGGTTTAGGGTTTAGGGTTAGGGGTTTAGGGTTTAGGGCTTCGGGTTTAGGGTTTAGGGTTTAGGGTTTAGGGTTTAGGGTTTAGGGTTTAGGGAAAATACAAAAACCTATCCCAAGGGCCTACCTCGAATCGGTTTGCAGGGCCGAGCCAGGCTGCCTCCGAAGGCCAACACGTTTCGGGCAATGAGCACGTGCGCTGGGTCCTCGGCGGCCGTCACCCACACCGGAAAGGTGGCTTGAGGATTTCGGGCTCAAGGACTTCATCTCCTCTTGGGCCCTCTAGGACGTAGGGTTTAGGGCCTTAAGGTTTAGGGTTTCGGGTTTAGGGTTCGGGGTTTAGGTTTCGGGCTTCCGGAGGTCTTTAAGGTGGCGAGGAGTCTGTCGAAATGAGCCTAACAACCCAAAAACTGACACGCCAAGCCTGGGAAGAATACCCCTGGTATGAACCCTAACTTGCTAAACCCTAAACCCCAATAACCCCATAGAGCTTTCTGAGCACAATAAACCCTAAACCCCACAAAGCCCCATGCATCCCAAAACCCCATAAACCCGTGACACCATTTATACCTATAAACCCTAAACCCAGTAATCCCTACAAACCCTGACCCCTACAAATCCTATAAACGCCATCAACCCTAAACGGCTCTGGGGCCTTTACTTGGTTTAGGGTTTAGGGTTTAGGGTTTAGGGTTTAGGGTTTAGGGTTTAGGGTCTAGGGTCTAGGGTTTAGGGTTTAGGGTTTAGGGTTTTAGGGTTTTAGGGTTTTAGGGTTTTAGGGTTTTAGGGTTTTAGGGTTTTAGGGTTTTAGGGTTTTAGGGTTTTAGGGTTTTAGGGTTTTAGGGTTTTAGGGTTTTAGGGTTTTAGGGTTCTCGCTGAGGGGGGCACGACGTCGGCCGTGGCGATCTTCGCCCCGGGAACGGCGAGGGCCAGTCGCAAAGAGGAGTAGCCTGTTTAGGGTTTAGGGTTTAGGGTTTAGGGTTTAGGGCTTTGGGTTTAGGGTTTTGGGTTTTGGGTTTAAGGTTTAGGGTTTAGCCTGGACTTTCATTCCACCAACCCTGTATGTTCGGAAGCCCTATAAAAACTATTTTTTATGGCTTTAAAAGGATTGTGTAGGGATTAAGGGTGCAACACAAATTTCAAAAAACAAACACATATGTTCAAACCTACCCCTGCCTTGAGTACAGGCAAGGCTGACGGGTACAAGTGCTCTTTGACTCGGATCTGCTCATTCCCTATTTGCAGTGCGGGGTTGCCACATTTCAAACTGGCATGCAAAGCCACATCAATGACTTTTCTCAAGTCCACACATTTCGGCGACCATCGATATCTGTAAACCCTAACTTGATTCAATCTGCACTTTCTCCGCATTTCTTTGTCGGATGCAACGCAACGCGACGCACTTTCCAAGGGAGGCGCGTGTGAGTTGCGGATCCCCGTAGGGTCCCGCAGAGGGTGAAGTTCATTCTTCTCCGAGTACTCAGGGCTGCTGCTCACATACTGCACCACACCGAGAAACGAGCCATGAACCTAGCGAAAGGGCGAAAGCCCTAGTCCAAAACGAGCTAAATCCAGCAACCCCGAAACCCCAACCCTAAACCCCTAAACCCTAAGCCCCTACACCCTAAACTCCAATTCTTACTGAACCCGGCATGAACCCAAAACTCCCTCGAACTGCTTGACCCTGCCAGGGGCCAGGCCGCAGTAGGTGCCAATCTCCAGGACCTTTGTAGGTAGGGCTTATGGCTAAGGGTTTAGGTTCAGGGTCGGCCGACTTCTCAGGAACATCACGCTGACGCGGTCTTCGGGGCCTTACTTGGAGGTGATGGGTAGTTCAGTAGGGCCCTGGGATATGGTAGCGATAGTTACATAGCCATGTTTCGGGTACTTATAAATACCCACGAACCTCCAAACCCTAAACCCTGCACCCTAAGCAGGGTTTAAGGGCTCTGGATGCGTTAGGTTTTCAGCCACACGAGGGAGAAAGCCACCTTCTTGGACAACTGGGCCCATGGGAAAAGTGGCCATATGTTTGGGGTTTGTAAGGCTTAGGGCTACATCTCCCGCACCGCCCCCTAGACCCAAAAAGAAAGCCAAAAACAGCCTGAGCCCTACATCCTACATACCCCTAAACCCTAACCCTAAACCCTAAACCCTAAACCCTAAACCCTAAACCCTAAACCCTAAACCCTAAACCCTAAACCCTAAACCCTAAACCCTAAACCCTAAACCCTAACCCTAAACCCTAAACCCTAGACCCTAAACCCTGAACCCTAAACCCTTCTGGAGCTTCCGGGGCTTCCTCCGCACGCACTTTTGCCTGGCGAAGGCCGGACGGTGGCTCAGCGCAAGGAAGCGTCGAGCAATCGCGAGTGGCTGCTGGCTGTACAAGCACCCGAAACCCGCACGAGACCCAAAAGAGCTAAACCCTACACGCTACAAACCCTATAAACCCTTGCCAGCCCTTATAAACCATGTAAGCCCTATAAACCCTATAAACTCTATCTCCTCAAGCCCGAAGTTTCCTCGAAGTGGACACAGATGCCACACCCTGGAGGATCCCTGAGTCTGGGGTTTAGGGTTTATAGGGGTAAGGTTTCGGGTTTAGGGTTTGGGGTTTAGGGTTTAGGGTGGAGGGCAACAAGTGGGGTCTCGGGTGCAGCAGCCTCTGAAACACTGGCGCCTCTACGGAGCTTAGATGGCATCCTTCAGGCTTATAAGTGTTGGGGTTCAGGATTCATGTTTAGCGGCTCAGGGTTCAAGTCTAGTTCACCTGTCGCACATGAGCTACACAGAGGCTCCAGCTCAAAACTTGCGCCCCACCCCTAAGGTGAGACAAGCACCCACAGCCGCTGGCTGCTAGGGCCGCTAGGGCGGCGCCCGATGAGCGAAGTGACGCTTCAGCGCAGGCGCAGCACCAGGTGCAGCGTCGACTCCTTCTGGATATTGTAATCCGACAGAGTGCGACCATCCTCGAGCTGCTTCCCGGCAAAGATCAGGCGCTGCTGGTCGGGTGGGATTCCCTCCTTGTCCTTCGGCCATCTGCCGGGCTAAGACTAAAAACAGCAGCAGCCAGCAAGAAGAACAACAAACCCAACATCTACAACCCATCACGTGAGCACGGCCCTAAACCATCCTAAACCATATACACAAGTCCTGAATCTTGGCCTTCACATTGTCGATGGTGTCTGACGCTTCAACGTCAAGCGTGATGGTCTTGCCAGTCAAGGTCTTGACGAAGATTTGCATACCACCACGAAGGCGAAGCACCAGGTGCAGCGTCGACTCCTTCTGGATATTGTAGTCCGACAGAGTGCGACCATCCTCGAGCTGCTTCCCGGCAAAGATCAGGCGCTGCTGGTCGGGTGGGATTCCCTCCTTGTCCTTCGGCCGTCTGCCGGGCTAAGACTAGAAACAGCAGCAGCCAGCAAGAAGAACAACAAACCCAACATCTACAACCCATCACGTGAGCACGGCCCTAAACCATCCTAAACCATATACACAAGTCCTGAATCTTGGCCTTCACATTGTCGATGGTGTCTGACGCTTCAACGTCAAGCGTGATGGTCTTGCCAGTCAAGGTCTTGACGAAGATTTGCATACCACCACGAAGGCGAAGCACCAGGTGCAGCGTCGACTCCTTCTGGATATTGTAGTCCGACAGAGTGCGACCATCCTCGAGCTGCTTCCCGGCAAAGATCAGGCGCTGCTGGTCGGGTGGGATTCCCTCCTTGTCCTTCGGCCGTCTGCCGGGCTAAGACTAGAAACAGCAGCAGCCAGCAAGAAGAACAACAAACCCAACATCTACAACCCATCACGTGAGCACGGCCCTAAACCATCCTAAACCATATACACAAGTCCTGAATCTTGGCCTTCACATTGTCGATGGTGTCTGACGCTTCAACGTCAAGCGTGATGGTCTTGCCAGTCAAGGTCTTGACGAAGATTTGCATACCACCACGAAGGCGAAGCACCAGGTGCAGCGTCGACTCCTTCTGGATATTGTAATCCGACAGAGTGCGACCATCCTCGAGCTGCTTCCCGGCAAAGATCAGGCGCTGCTGGTCGGGTGGGATTCCCTCCTTGTCCTTCGGCCGTCTGCCGGGCTAAGACTAGAAACAGCAGCAGCCAGCAAGAAGAACAACAAACCCAACATCTACAACAACCCATCACGTGAGCACGGCCCTAAACCATCCTAAACCATATACACAAGTCCTGAATCTTGGCCTTCACATTGTCGATGGTGTCTGACGCTTCAACGTCAAGCGTGATGGTCTTGCCAGTCAAGGTCTTGACGAAGATTTGCATACCACCACGAAGGCGAAGCACCAGGTGCAGCGTCGACTCCTTCTGGATATTGTAATCCGACAGAGTGCGACCATCCTCGAGCTGCTTCCCGGCAAAGATCAGGCGCTGCTGGTCGGGTGGGATTCCCTCCTTGTCCTTCGGCCATCTGCCGGGCTAAGACTAAAAACAGCAGCAGCCAGCAAGAAGAACAACAAACACAACATCTACAACAACCCATCACGTGAGCACGGCCCTAAACCATCCTAAACCATACACACAAGTCCTGAATCTTGGCCTTCACATTGTCGATGGTGTCTGACGCTTCAACGTCAAGCGTGATGGTCTTGCCAGTCAAGGTCTTGACGAAGATTTGCATACCACCACGAAGGCGAAGCACCAGGTGCAGCGTCGACTCCTTCTGGATATTGTAATCCGACAGAGTGCGACCATCCTCGAGCTGCTTCCCGGCAAAGATCAGGCGCTGCTGGTCGGGTGGGATTCCCTCCTTGTCCTTCGGCCATCTGCCGGGCTAAGACTAAAAACAGCAGCAGCCAGCAAGAAGAACAACAAACACAACATCTACAACAACCCATCACGTGAGCACGGCCCTAAACCATCCTAAACCATATACACAAGTCCTGAATCTTGGCCTTCACATTGTCGATGGTGTCTGACGCTTCAACGTCAAGCGTGATGGTCTTGCCAGTCAAGGTCTTGACGAAGATTTGCATACCACCACGAAGGCGCAGCACCAGGTGGAGAGTAGACTCCTTCTGGATATTGTAGTCGGACAGAGTGCGCCCATCCTCCAGCTGTTTGCCGGCGAAGATCAGGCGCTGCTGGTCGGGTGGGATTCCCTCCTTGTCCTTCGGCTTCGCACGTTATTGAATAGTTGAGGTCTAGAACGGCAGTAGCCAGATCAAAAAAGACAAGAAAACATCAGCGACACAAAGCCCTACATATATAAGTTCCATGTCACATAAGTCCTGAATCTTTGCCTTCACATTGTCGATGGTGTCTGATGCCTCAACGTCCAGCGTGATGGTCTTGCCCGTCAAGGTCTTGACGAAGATCTGCATACCACCGCGAAGGCGCAGCACCAGGTGGAGAGTAGACTCCTTCTGGATATTGTAATCCGACAGAGTGCGCCCATCCTCCAGCTGTTTGCCGGCAAAGATCAGGCGCTGCTGGTCGGGTGGGATTCCCTCCTTGTCCTTCGGCTTCGCACGTTATTGAATAGTTGAGGTCTAGAACGGCAGTAGCCAGATCAAAAAAGAACAAGAAAACATCAGCGACACAAAGCCCTACATATATAAGTTCCATGTCACATAAGTCCTGAATCTTTGCCTTCACATTGTCGATGGTGTCTGATGCCTCAACGTCCAGCGTGATGGTCTTGCCCGTCAAGGTCTTGACGAAGATCTGCATACCACCGCGAAGGCGCAGCACCAGGTGGAGAGTAGACTCCTTCTGGATATTGTAATCCGACAGAGTGCGCCCATCCTCCAGCTGTTTGCCGGCGAAGATCAGGCGCTGCTGGTCGGGTGGGATTCCCTCCTTGTCCTTCGGCTTCGCACGTTATTGAATAGTTGAGGTCTAGAACGGCAGTAGCCAGATCAAAAAAGACAAGAAAACATCAGCGACACAAAGCCCTACATATATAAGTTCCATGTCACATAAGTCCTGAATCTTTGCCTTCACATTGTCGATGGTGTCTGATGCCTCAACGTCCAGCGTGATGGTCTTGCCCGTCAAGGTCTTGACGAAGATCTGCATACCACCACGAAGGCGCAGCACCAGGTGGAGAGTAGACTCCTTCTGGATATTGTAATCCGACAGAGTGCGCCCATCCTCCAGCTGTTTGCCGGCGAAGATCAGGCGCTGCTGGTCGGGCGGGATTCCCTCCTTGTCCTTCGGCTTCGCACGTTATTGAATAGTTGAGGTCTAGAACGGCAGTAGCCAGATCAAAAAAGACAAGAAAACATCAGCGACACAAAGCCCTACATATATAAGTTCCATGTCACATAAGTCCTGAATCTTTGCCTTCACATTGTCGATGGTGTCTGATGCCTCAACGTCCAGCGTGATGGTCTTGCCCGTCAAGGTCTTGACGAAGATCTGCATACCACCGCGAAGGCGCAGCACCAGGTGGAGAGTAGACTCCTTCTGGATATTGTAATCCGACAGAGTGCGCCCATCCTCCAGCTGTTTGCCGGCGAAGATCAGGCGCTGCTGGTCGGGTGGGATTCCCTCCTTGTCCTTCGGCCATCTGCCGGGCTAAGACTAAAAACAGCAGCAGCCAGCAAGAAGAACAACAAACACAAAATCTACAACAACCCATCACATGAGCACGGCCCTAAACCATCCTAAACCATATACACAAGTCCTGAATCTTGGCCTTCACATTGTCGATGGTGTCTGACGCCTCAACATCCAGCGTGATAGTCTTGCCAGTCAAGGTCTTCACGAAGATCTGCATGGCTGCTTCTGGGTTCGAATTGACGATACAACAACTGATAGCTTGTAGACAGGCCTTGCGTGTCTTGCTTGATCCACATCGTGCGTCGGATGAAGGAAGAGCTCTAAGTCTAAGCTGCCCAGGTGCCCCGCTATTGAATCGGAGGAAACCACTCCCGAAAACACCCAACACCCCTGCGCGTCGGAAATCCTACTCAGAACCCTAAACCCCAAACCCCAAACCCCAAACCCTAAACCCTAAACCCTGAACCCTAGACCCCACACCCTTGAAAACCCAAACCCTAACGTGGAAGTTCTGAGTCGCACCCCGAAAGGGCCCGGCGGCGGTGTGCGGCGGCGCGGCTTGGGACGCGCAGGTCAGAACTGGGGCCTGCAAAGAGGAGTTTTCCAGGGAAAGGGGACGATGTGGGGTTTAGGGTTTAGGGTTTAGGGTTTAGGGTTTGGGGTTTGGGGCTTAAGGGTTGGGGTCTATACTTCGGGCGAAGTTTGGGCACCGAAAATGGGCCCTTAAGCTTGGGATCTTTTGACAAAAGTGATAGGCCCTAAAAGGGCTGCCAACATATGGATACTTACCCCTAATACATCCCTCCCTTCCCACAGCTGCCAGAATACTTATTCTGGAAAGACCCACCCTCATTTTGGAAAGCACCGGGTTTCCACTGAAAACCATACTAAGGGCCCACGGTTCCAACCTTGGGTTTAAGGGGTCTCAGGGCTTGAGAGCTTAGTTTCTCGTTTCCTTTTTAAATCCCAAAACCCTAAACCCTGAACCCTGAACCCTAAACCCTGAACCCTACACCCTAAGCCCTAAACCCTAAACCCCAAAACCTCAATCCTAAACTTAGGGTTTTGAAGAGCCTTGTGGGATCCTCTAGGTTCTCAAGTGGTATCGCCGTGTGCGGTGCGGCTCGAGTTAGGCTACAGTGCTACAGGTTTCTGGATCCTGTGGTCAGGGTTTGGTTTAGGGTCTAGGGTCTAGGGTCTAGGGTTTAGGGTTTGGGGTTTAGGGTTTAGGGTTTAGGGTTTAGGGTTCAGGGTTTAGGGTTCAGGGATTGGGATGGTTCGTGGCGACCTGGCTGAGGGTTCAGGGTCTGGGGCTGGTATAACTGGCATGGAGAGCTCGATTGGATTGGGATGGGTATATGGGTAGTGCAGTACCATACTCAGAATGTGTTTTTACTAGTAGCATGGCGAAGACCATAGTCGCAATGTGTATACTAGAATACGTCATAACGTATCAAAAAATATCAGAACATATCACATACCGTGGTTCAGGGAATATCTTAATTGGTACTGCTGCTCAAGTGGGCTGTCTAAGGACTCAAGTCTTCCCCTGCGCTCCACGTACTCCAGGCCTCCAAAGTCCTAGCCGAGGTAGCTTGCTATAGGTAGGGTTATAAGCATGGCAACTAGAGCTATGGCCTTTGTTTACGGTACTTGCAACCCTACTTAAAGACACCCAAACTAGAGTTATAGCCTTTGTTGACGGTACTTGCAACCCTACTTATAGACACCCATGAGCCTCCCAAGTAAAAGGGAACCCCACATCCACCCGAGACTGCTCAGCGCCCACCCCTCCAGCCTCAACCCCTCAAGACCCCCCGACACCCTGAACCCTAACTCCTTAATCCTAAGGCCTAAGCCCTAAGCCCTAAACCCCAAGCCCTAGTCCTGAACCCTGGAACGCTCTGAGCCCTGCACCCTGAAACCTTAAGCTCAGCGCTCGACCTTGCTACCTCCGGCCAGTTTCAGCCAGGATCGCGACTGGCCCAACCTGGAACTCTCTACTCCCTCCCTAAACTCTACACCTTGAACCCTGAACCCTAAACCTGACATTGGACACTAAAGATGTAGGGTTTGGGTTTAGGGCTTAGGGTACATAAGCCAACACACGACATCACAGGGGCGTGTAGCAACTTCAATCTTTTGGAGTTGTCTTTCTTTCAACTTTCTTGGTCAGGGAGAACCCGAAACTAATATCATGGGGAGCAATGTGGGGCCGGAGAGTTGTATTCAAACTTCGGCAAGTTGAGGGTTTATGAGCCTACGGGGCCCTAAACCCTAATCCGTATGGAGACCTTACGTCTGAAAAAAAAAGGCCTGCGGTTTAGTTTTAGGGGGGTAGGGCTAGGGTTTACATTACAGGTTTAGGGCTTACAGAAGGGCGGGTGCACCTGCCCCGGTGGCCCGAGCCAAGATCGCAGGGCCCAAGATAGGGAGCCTTTTTGGGTGCAGTTCTGACATGCTTGTGGGCCTATTCCGGCCATTCTTCAGAGGCCAGGGGATGAGACACCCACCGACAAGGGTTTAGGGTTTAGGGTTTAGGGTTTAGGGTTTAGGGTTTAGGGTTTAGGGTTTAGGGTTTAGGGTTTGGGGGGGGAACGTCTACACCCTTGACACCCTCAGCCGATGTTAGGCTTCGGGGGGCAGAGGATGCTCCCTTAGGTTCAGGGAGATTCGGGAGCCCCTGTAAGCATGAGTGGCCCTCAAACCCTAAACCCTAAACCCTAAACCCTAAACCCTAAACCCTAAACCCTAAACCCTAAACCCTAAACCCTCCTGAGCCCCAAACCCTAGACCCTAACTCTGTAGTTGTAGGGCCCTCATGTTGGCCCTTTAGGGTCCCTTACATGGGCTATGAAGTGCCTCGAGCAAGGTGATCGGCTAGCGTCGTTCGAGCTACCCGACATACATCCCCAGGCTGCAACTACCCGACCGCAAACGAACCCCTAAACCCTAAACCCTGTACTCTAAACCCTAAACCCTAAATTCAAACCCTACGCCCTAAACCCTAAACCCTAAACCCTAAACCCTACGCCCTAAACCCTAAACCCTAAACCCTAAACCCTCCCAGTTTGCATCTTGAAGCTGAGTCCCGAAACATCCGACTGCCGAAGCCCTCGATGCTCTCGCAGACCGACTGCGGGCTTCCAGCGGTAGCGGTGCGTAAGACCTCTGCATGCTTAGGTTCAGGGTTTAGGGTTTAGGGTTCAGGGTTCAGGGTTCAGGTTCAGGGTTTAGGGTTTAGGGTTTAGGGTTTAGGGTTTAGGGTTTAGGGTTTAGGGTTTAGGGTTTAGGGTTCAGGGATTCGGGATTCGGGTTTCAAGCTTCAGGTTCCAGGAAAATCGGCCCCTTTTAGGTGCGAATTGCTAGTTCAACAGCCCCCAAAATGACTTTCCTACAGGCACCGAACCCCACAACCACAGTAGATCCCGGGTCCGGCTCCCAGGTCCCGGGACATACACAACCCCCTCTTACAAAAGCAATAACCCTAGGGTTTAGGGTTTAGGGTTTAGGGTTTAGGGTTTAGGGTTTAGGGTTTAGGGTTTAGGGTTTAGGGTTTAGGGTTTAGGGTTTAGGGTTTAGGGTTTAGGGTTTAGGGTTTAAATCATATTGGCTCCACTTCCCGGCAGCCGCTTCACACCGGACAGTCGGATTCCCGGCGATACTTCCTGGCTGGCGTTGTCCGCTGCCGCGCTTGTTCCCGCAAACTATACATACCAACTTCACGCCCTAAACCCTGAACCCTAAACTCTTAACCCCAAGCCCTAAACAGACATCAAGGAGCGCATCCTCAGAGCACATCTTTTTAAAAACTTTGAGATGGCTCCGCTCTACTCACTCCGCAAGACCTTGCCCTTAGGGTTTGGGGCTTTAGGTTTCAGAGGGCTTGAACAACTCTAGTCGCTAGATCAGTGCTCTTAGAGCCCCCTTTTGAACGAATCCAACTTGTACAGACCCTGAAGAAACATAAGTAGACCCAGCACAAGAAGATTGCGTGCATATATGTATAGAGGTACCTAGATCTATTGAAACCAAACTTGCAATAAACCCTCGACACCCTATGAAACCTATAAACCTTGCAAGCCCTAAGACGACGGTCCTAGACCCCTAAACCCAAACCCTACACCCTAAACCCCAAACCCTCAACCCTAAACCCTATGCCTGGGCCCTGAGACCTCCTCTCCTGGTCCCCGCCCTGCTCCTGAGGCGCCCGGCGTGTGACAGCAGCCGGAGCTCCTTGGAGTAGGGCGCGGCTGCAGATCCTGCTTTTAGGGGGCTTCTGCGGGGTGGCTTCAAGGAGGCTTATTGGGGGGGGGGGGGGGGGTCCTATGCGGGGCTTATAAGGGGGGTTTAGGAGGTTTGGGGTGTCCGGCGTTGCTTTCGAAAAGCTTTCACCCAATCTCGAAGCCTGAGCTTCCACATTATCCACATTACAAGGCCAAGAGCTCAGACTGCTGAGGGCTGCTCAAGCAGCATACCTCCTTCCAGGAAGGCATTCGGAAAGGAAACAAGGGAAGCGAACAGATCGAACACCCCTAAACCCAGACCCCCTCAAGCCCTGAACCCCCAAGAGAACCCCAAAAACCGCAATCCCTAAACCCTAAACCCTAAACCCTAAACCCTAAACCCTAAACCCTAAACCCTAAACCCTAAACCCTAAACCGTAGAAACCCTAAACCCTAGAAACCCTAGAAACCCTAAACCCTAAATCCTATAAACCGCAAACCCTAGCAGCCCCCAATGCTCCCGCAGCCTGCACTGCCGGCAGCTCCCAAGCTCTGCACCGGCATCCTCCGAAGGAAGCAGATGTTTAGGGGTTAGGGTTTAGGGTTTGGGGCAGGCGAGGGGGGGGGGGGGGGGGGGGGGGGTCGACGTTTCAAGGGAAAACGTCGAACTGAGGGGTTGGGGTGGCTTAGGGTTTTTGTTCTAACTTATCGGGAAGCTCCGGCTTTCCGGAGTAGAAATCGAAGCCCTCGCAACTATGTGAGCTTGTAGCTCAAGTGATCTAGACCTCGTCGCCACAGGACAGCAACCAAGGTATTCAGGTTTCAAGCTTTTTTGCTCTTTTGCCGGGCTTGCTGGGGAGGGTAAGGTTGTTGGTGTGTTGTGGTGTGGGTGAACGATCTAAGGTCCTGTTGTTTTCCCTATTTCCAGGTCGTGGGGTCAGGAAGTCAATCTCCTGAACCTTGAGCCCTCAGGTGTTTGCACACATAAACCCCACATTCGGAATCCTAACCCTTTTGACTGCACCACTGAGGCCGCCACCAGCTGTTACACCCAAGAAGTGTACAGCCGAGAGTAAGACCATTGCTCCGGCGAAGGAGAGAAACAGGCTAGGGTTCGCCCTAATACAAAGAGCTCAACCTAAAATACACGAAACTTAAGCCAATCCACAACAACCACTTTTCATTGCGAACCCCTTTTTGTGGCGATCCCTACAGGATCGACGAGCCCTTTCTCGCTCTGCACCGATGAGCAAGATCATCATGTCACATCGATGCTTATGCCCTGCGCTCACGTATGTGCACTCTCAGATTTGTAAATATCGCGCAGCGGTGCCGACCAGGTGCTGCGAGGCGTTGTTGAGGCCTTCGCCGCAATGGTTCTCACCACACCAACAACAGGCAAATCCAGTCACGCCTCCGTTGCAATCGCAATTACACTCTTGTCCAGATGGGCACTGTTTGGAGTCGACGGAGCCATCCGAACAGTGGGTGCTGCACGTTGCTGGCGTCGGCGGTGCACCCAACTCCTGCTTTGGGGGGGATGCCTCCGCAGGCAGCGTAGCGTTCTTGAGGCCTTCGCCGCACTGGTTATGACCGCACCAGCAACAGGCAAGGCCGGCCACGCCTCCGTTGCAGTCGCAAGTACACTCCTGGCCGGCTGGGCACTGCTTGGAGTCGACGGAGCCATCTGAGCAGTGGGTGCTGCACGTCGGAGATGTGCCCAGCACTTGGTTGGTGCTGCATGCCCACAACAAGAAGCACTGGACGAGACTGGCACTGATGGCAAACATAGCCCGGACTGCAAAGTTCGAGGGCTAAGGGGTGAATGATGGCTGGCCGGTCTTGCCACTACAGCCTGGAGCCATTCAGGGTTGTGTATTCAGGGTTGAGGGTTTAGGGTTTTAGGGTTCAGGGAGGCCTTTTTCGAGCAGAATCCTCAAGTCAGAAGCAGCAGATGTGACGCTTCCTGGCTCTGAGTGCAGTGCAGCTCCAATGCCCGCTCACAGTAAAGTAGGGTTTTGGGGGCTTGCGATTGTTTATTGGGGTTTGCGGGTTGCAGGGTTCAGGATTTCGGCACCCCGGCGCGCCGTCCTCCCAGCGCGAGGCCTTGGCGTTGGGTCTTTTTGGCTTGGGTTGGGATGTCCCCCCTTATACTCACAGTCCTTAATAGGGATTATAGTACCCCCCCCCCCCATATTAGAATCCCTATTAAGGCCTGCTTGTATACGGGGGAACATCCCAAGGCTTGGGGCATTCTGGGCTTTCAGCGGGAGCAAAACCCCAAAACCCTACCTCTCGGCAACCGCTCGCTCAAAGGGTCATAGGTTCTCTTAAGGGTGTTGGGCTTGAGGGTTTAGGGTCTTCTGGGCTACGGAGGGCTATGCTGCTTGAACTTTACAACGTACTTCTCACCCCAACCACAAACCCTAAACCCTAGATCCGAAACCCACAAACTCACAAACCCACAAATCCATAAACATATAAAGCCATAAACCTATCAACCGATAAAGCCCAACCCCCAAACCCCAAACCCCAAACGGTTTAGGGTTTGGGCCCAAACCCTAAACCCTAAACCCTAAACCCCGAACCCTAAACCCTAAACCCCAACAACCCCAAACCCCGCGAGGCCGTCGGGCTGCCAAGCGGCTGTGGCTGCAGCATCGGACCTCGCGACGGCCCTGTGGGCAACCGCAGCTCTGCCTGTGAGAGTGCTGTTTATGGTTTAGGGTGTGGGGTTTAAGGTTTTAGGGCTTAGTGTGTAGGGTTTAAGGTTTTAGGTTTTAGGGCTCAGGGGGTCGGGTTTAAGGTTTAGGTTTTACTGTTTAGGGTTCAGAGTTCACTGTATGCAGTCGCGAGAGTTGGGTACGTGTTTTTGTTGCAGCTTGTGCGTAGGGGGTGATGTCTACACAATGCAAGAACATGCACAAACCTCACAACGTACATGCAACGTACCACGCCCGTAAACGGCTTTGTTGCAGATCATGCGAGGTTTAAGCGATCAAAATGGCGGCAGGCCGGCAATCCGGGGTGAACATGAGCTGCAGCAAAGCTGGACCAGCTGTGTGCTAAAAAGAGCATGACGTACGTCTTTATCCCATCAGAAACGGGTCACCTCAGCTGACGCCGTCTCTCAACATTCGCTGCTTTGCACTTTCACTCGGAAAAAAGACAGATTGAGAACACCCTGTGGTCCAACCTTGTTGCATGTGTTGGCGTGCAAGAGGACCATTCCAAGGAAACAGCACGAGTCGGAACATGTTGCAACGGCTTGCCCACTGTCGCAGCCATGCGGGCCGAAAGCTTCCGTTCTTGTCAGATGTTGAAACCGACCTCCTCTTGTTCACTGAACAACACATGGAACTTTGGCCCACAAAAACAACTTATCTATTTATACTACATGATGCAAAATGCCAACTGTGCAACCGAAGCAAGGACCAAGACCGAGCCACGGGAACGTAGCAGGGTACGGCAGGGTAGAACATGCAGGCTGCCAAGAAGAGCATATGAGGACACAGAATTGCTTTTAGGATCTACATGGCGGCATTCGTCAATCTTAAGTGAATTCTTGAACTCGCCGTGTCCTACGCGAAGCAGAACACACAATGGCCGCATATGCTCCGCTGACAATTTATGTCGCTGGTTTCACCAACTGTGGCAGATCAAGATATATGGCATGGACCATTAAGAATGATGTGGGGAACCTATTCCATTGCTATGAAAAGCCAACATACAGAACTCCTTAAGGGAAACACGAGACCAACACTAAATCGAAGTGGCCTTTCCTCCTTCTTCCTTCTAGTGTGCTTAACCCGCTCCCCCCTCACGTCAAGATGTCTGTATGTGAGACCGTGGGGTGGTTTTGTGAAAGTTTCAGGCTCTTCTTTCCCGAGTTGCAGGTTTTGGATCTTTTGGGTTTTAGGGGCCGCTCCTAAGACTGGGCGAGCCGATCTGTGACCTGTCTTTTGGGGTGACTTGGGGATTTCGAGGTTTTTGTGGGATTGGCCTCTTTGGATTTAGGGTTAGTGTGCGGTTTATTCGGTGGAGGTATTTGGAGATTTTCGGGGCTGTTGAGATCTTGAGCATTTCGGACTTGTTTTTCATTGTGACGTAGGATATCTCGGGGGATGCATTTCTGTCTATTCTTTTCCAACTCTTGTCATTCGACAGGAGATTCGGCCAGGAGTCTGCCGCAGTCAAAGCACGTGAAGCACTTGACATGGGCATGTTCAGTGAGTCACTTGGGTTGCAAGTGCTTTGGGCTTTTTGAAAAGCACGTGAAACGCTCGAAGGCGAAATTTGCGGGCAAACATTTGTGCTTCAAGATTGAAATTGGTGGCGGGATTCAGTCAGAAGTTTGCCCCCGAAGTTAAAACGCCTGTGCCACTTGAAACTGACATGTAGGCATCTGTTTCAAGTGTTCAGGGCTTGTGGACAAAAAGTGGCTCGGCCATGTTTCCTTGCGAAGGCATGGCTTCATGTCGGCTTCATGTCGGAATGCTCCCTCATAAGCCGCGTGATACTGGCACATACAACCGTGCATGTATCTTTGGCATTTCGGCAACAACTCACATGACCCTCCATCAAAAACGAGCTCTGACGAATTAACCGTAAACCCTAAACCCCATAAAGCCTAAACCCTCAACCCCAGCAGGCCAGGGCTCCCTCGTCACCATCAACCCTCAATCCTACAGCGCATTTGAAGACTCGAATGCGCGCCTTCCACTGTCCGGGATACCGTGGCAACAGCGGCAAGGGCGCGACGATGCTTCCCTGCGCCTTGTGCTCTTGGAGGCAAGACTTAGCTCTTCGAGACAGCTTCCAGAACTTAACTAGGTCGGGTTGAGCTTGGGCGCTTCAATAGGGCCTCTAGGGATATGGGTTGGGGTCGCTGCGATGTGCCGGGAAATAGAATATGGTGTCCAAGGGAGGCACCCTTGGCGCACTTTTCAAGGGTGCAAGTGACAACTCGGAGTTCAAATTGTTGGGGATATGGTTGGGGGCTTTAGGCTTCAATTGCTCCGTTTAAAGCTTAGCACTCAGCCTCCAGTTTGACACCCGACATCCACACTACAGGAGCGTTCGATGCAGATATGAACGCAAGAGTAGAGCATAGCAATTAACAAGTGGCAGCTACTGGCTGAGGCACAGGCCCACAGCCATTCGGATCTGAGCTGCTCCTCGGTTCCCATTCCCCAAGCCTGAAGCCACCCCAGGATCAGAACACCAGTATTCCGAAAATCAGGGGGTAGGGTCTTGGGCTCTCTGGATCACAAACTTTAGCAACACTTGACCCTGTGCTCGAGGTGATGAATCGTGCAAGAAAAGGTTGCGGGGTTTGCGAGCCAGCATCCCGGGTTTAGGGTTTAGGGTTTAGGGTTTAGGGTTTAGGGTTTAGGGTTTAGGGTTTAGGGTTTAGGGTTTAGGGTTTAGGGTTTAGGGATATCGGACGTGTGTAGTTCTGCCCTGAGACCAAGGCTTAGGGCTTGAGGCTGAAGGGCTTAAGCTTGAGGCTTTAGGTTTTCTAAAACTTGGATTGGAGGTGCTACAAAGCCTGTAGAGTTCAGAGCTTGGGGGCTTTCTAGGGGTTTATAGGCCTCAGACCCAACTACCCCAAGAAGCCTTGTGGGTCATGAGAACGTTTGCCTTCTGCCGGCCAAGGCACCAACAGGCCATCCTCCATGCCTGCGCGCAACAAGCTTTTGGGCTTTAGGGTTTGGGAGTAAAGGGCTAAGGGAGGGTTTAGGGCTTTGTAGGTGTCGGATTTGAGGGGGATGGGGGTGGGGGGAACTCTACAATGAGGGCTTAGGGGTAGGGTTAAACCCGGTGCCGGGCTTTCGGCTTCTTTGGTCCTAGGAGTCACCAGCGATTCTGGTAAGTGCTGCTGTGCTGTCGGTTTTCAAAGGGGTTGGAGCTTGCCTATGAGTGTGTGTGTTTGACAGCTTTGAATTTCAGTTGAAGGTTAGTGAGGTTTAGAAAGGAACCTCACCCCATCCCCAAAAAGAGGGAAGAAGGTGTACTACTGGAGGTCTTGGTTGTCAAAATACCCTAAATCCTAAACCCTAGGGACTGGATTGCTTGAGGCTTTCGCGTCGGCGAGTTTCAGGCGTCCCCGATGCGGCCAAGTCTTCAACACATCGACTGACACACCCTCTCATGCGCTGAATGAAGGAACATCGGACATTGAAGGATCTTCAGCGGATGGGTCTCAGGGGCTAGGGCAGTCTAGGAACTCAGGGCTGCAAAATTGGTCAGGGCTGGGTTTTGTTGTGCCCGGAGAAATCTGGAACTAGCAGGGTTTCGGAATTTCCGGGCGCTTGGGCCCCGCGACGCCTTCCCATCCTTGCTGCTCGCACTCGCGGATGAGCCTCAGCCACAAGCAGCCCAGGTCTGGTACTTGTGGGATTGTGGGGTTTAGGGTTTAGGGTTTAGGGTTTAGGGTTTAGGGTTTAGGGTTTAGGGTTTAGGGTTTAGGGTTGGGGGGAGTTAGAGGAGGTAGGGTTTGGGGTTTTGGGGTCTAGGGGGCTCCTTGTAGTTGAGGTCGCTTTCGCATGTGTATGGGCCCCGTGCCCTGCGGTGAAGTTCAGGGGGTAAGCCCTAAACCCCTATCAGCCTTGGCATCACCCCCCACTCACAAAGCCTACAAACCAAATGGGGATGACCTATAGAATCACTATAGGTACTCTCGGTATCCCCTAGAGTAGTAGCTCTGGAAACTCCGGAATCGCAAAATCCTACATCCCAACACCCTTACTCCTCAATACTTTTAACACACCCAACCTGCTCTTTTTTTGAAGAAGTAAGGCCCTAAATCCGAAGCCCCGAACCCCCCAAACTTGAAGCTGAAGCTGGGCTACGCGGAGAAGCTGTTGACGGCGCGGGGCCTTGAGGGAGCATGTGGCTTAGGGCTCCCTAACCCCAAACCCCTAACCCCGCAGCCTAAATAAACCCGAAAACCTGAACCCTAAACCCTAAACCCGAAGCCCTACACCCTAAACCCTAAACCCGACAACCTAAACGCTAGGGTTTCAGGATGTTTGGGCTTCGGGATCCTCAGGACCCCATCTTCTGGTCTTAGGGGATAGGTTGTGATGTTCCCCCAAAAACACTAACACTCCTTGATAGGGATCATAACAGGGTTTAGGGTTTAGGGTTTAGGGTTTGGGGTTTGGGGTTTAGGGTTTAGGGTTTGGGGGTACTATTTTCCCCATAAAGGACTGTTCGTATAAGGGGGGGAATCCCAAGGGTGAGGGCTTGAAGGCCCTTTGGTTGAGGGTCTAGGGCGCGTTCAGGCTTAAGGGCTCTAGACCCAGGAATACGCAGGGTATCCTTTGTGGTTTAACGGGCCTTATCAAGGAACCCAAGCCCAAAAAACAGGGAATAAGGGCCTACTCTGGCTCCGTCAATACAGGTTTGGGCTTCGGGGTTTTAAGGTTCAGGGTGCTGATGACGAGGATGGTGAATTACAGGAGCATCGAGTTTTAGTCTTTAGGGTTTTTGATTGCATAGGGGCATGGTTTATGGTTCTATGATGTCGACCTAAACCCTAACACAAGCAAAATCCCTCCAAAACCCCCGGCCCTAGCACCCTCGGGGTTTTGCGCAAGGCTTTCGGCCGCCATGCCCGCAAGCAACACCCCAACCAACCGAACGGGCCCAAAAGTCCAAGAGTCCGCAGCAAGGTTCGAGGACTTGGGGGTTCAGGGGTTTCGGGGTGGGCTTCGGGTCTTCAGGGTTCTGGATTGGGGCTTTAAGATTAAGGTTTATAGGGCTTAGGGATTTTTAGCCCCCATGAAGCGAGAAGCCTACCCTGAAATCCTGGCGCTGGGGGTTCCGACCCTTCGTCGGAGCTCTGCAGCTCGCTCCAGAGCCAGAAAGCCTCTTGCCTGTCGATCTTCGCTATTGAAAGTTGACTAGCCCTAAACCCTAAACCCGAACCCTAAACCCTAGGTTCCGTCAACCCTCGGTTTGGGGCGCGCTAGGGTCCATAGCATTTGAGACGTAGGATGTGCTACGCTACCGGCAAGCTTTTGGGGGGCCGGGGAAGGATCGAGGCCTGGGATCCGAAGTTGCAAGGCCTACGCCCTGGCCTACGCCCTGAAACCCGTAAAAACCCACTCAGGGTTGAGGGTTAACATTGCAGATCCTTTATCTGCAGTTCCGACCCCGAACCCTGATCCCAGGGGCGGCAAGTCCGGCTGCCCCCGCCTTCGTTACAAGGTCTGCGTCTCGTGTGGCTCGGGAAAATTCTGGGCAGGGTTTGGGGGCAGAGCACCTCTTAGCAACTCGACCCAACACCAAGCAATGCCCCCCGGCCAGGCACTGCTCCGCGTGCACGCCAGGAGGAGCGCGCTGAAACCTGGCGCCAGACCTGCGCTTTGCCGTTGCTTTGTGTCGGTTGTGTTCTTGCCTTCGTGCACTTTGGGTTAGGGTTTCAGGGTGTAGAAAAGGATTATTTGCTGTTGCTGAAGTTGGCGCTCGTACTCTTCGAAAGAAAGCCTCCATGGTCTAAAAAAGACCGCCGCCACTTCTTCTTGGGCATCCTAAACGGGGTAGCTCTCTAATATACCCCAAAATACTATAATCCTTATTCTAGGAGCCCCAAAAAAGGGTACCCCTATGATCGGAATCCCCCAAATTGGGTAGCTCTCTAAATTATAGGGTCCTTTTGGAGGTCCTTCTTGCAAGGTTGCGATCTCTCCGCCCCCCTCCCCCCCCCCTAAACCCTAAACCCTAAACCCTAAACCCTCCCCCCCTCTGTGGAGTGGAGGGATGCCCAGAGGTTTAGGGGATTCAGAGACGCACGCTCATACCGGCCCTCCATCCCTCCAACCCTTCATCCACAGACTTCAGGGGACTCAAGAGGGGATCTTTTGACGGACTGAGAAGGGCTGTGTTGGGGCTTATGGGCTTAAGTCTATACGGACTATTCAAGGTGTCTACAAAGGGTCTGAGGACGCCCTGTAGATTGTTGCATCGAGGGTCCACTCAGGACTTTCTGGGCTGCCCATATCTACTCGGAAAATGGGAAATTGAGCACCCTGTATATCACCGGATTCCCGCATCCCGATTAAGAACGAGTCGCTTTTGGAGAAAACTCCCCGGCCTGTCTGGATCTCGGACTTCGCGGCACTCTCGCGAGCCTGGCGGCGAGCTTTGGAACATGAGTCTTCGGGCTTAGGCTTTCGAGGGAGACTTGGGCCCCAAAAGCAGTTGCTGGAAATCGTCCTTATTTGGGGGTCCAAGTACCTTGAACCCTACTCCGCAGCCCTGAAACCCAAAGTCACCTGCTTCTCAGCGTTTCTCCCCCCCTCTCCCCCCTCAAGGTGGGGGCTCAGGAGAAAGGCCAGCCCGAAACTCGAACGAAGCTTCACTGATTAGATTCCACCCTGACCCCTAACAAGCCCGAAGCTCTGATGTACCCTACACCCTGACAAGCCCAAGAAGCCCCAACCTCAAAACACCAACGTCCCTGGACAATGCACAGACCACCTCACAATCCCCCCTCCCCCCCCCCCCCACATGGGACTCTAGCCCCCTGAATCCGAAACCCTTACAAGGCCTAAACTTAAACCCTCAACCTTCAACTCTATAAAACGCCACAACACTTTCAACCCCCAGTGCGCCTGGCCCAGGAGGCAGAAGGAACGCTGCCACTGGCTGCCTGGAAGCGGACGTTGGGCTTGTTTCACATGCCGGACCCATGGGGAACGTGGGGAAGATTCGGGTGTTTGCTAAACCCCTTCGGCCGCAGCGCTTGACCGCGCAACTTTTGGACATTTCGCCTTTCTCTCGCCAACAAGGCGCCGCCGTTGTTGAGGGCCCCGCTGCAGGGCTTTTTAGGGTGAGCTCAACTGGGCTGGGGGTTTAGGGTTGAGGGTCTACTGCATAACACGAGATAGATGACTTCATGGAGCAACAAGCTAATGCACAGCTGGGGCAGCATGCATATGTACAGCTCAGAGCATCCCAGCTGAAGAACTCTGGCGTCACCTGAGGGCACGAGGGAAGGAAGCCAGGAGCTTCTTGTCTTCAGAATATGCGGAGCTCATGCTGACAGCATAGCATGTTCGCGCTGTTCATGTGAAAGTTTCTCATGCCACGAGGGGCTTCGGGTTCAGGGCATTCCATACCAGCACTGGAAACCCATCATGTACGGCACTAGGTCTAAAAGATTCTAAAAGTACGAGGATATTTGTAGCACCCGAAACACGAAAAACAAGGACCATAATACAATAAACATGCAATAGAGTAATTAGAGACCACGAAAGGACACCTATTTCAGATCAGACCCCGAAATCCTCGCATGAAAAGACGAACGGGCCTGCCAATCTTGCTTGAAGACCTCGGGGTGTATCTCCCGGTCACAACTTAAGCTATTCATTTGTAAACCACTAAATCCTACACCCTAAACCCCAACCCCCAAACCCGATAAACCCGAAACCCGAAACCCTAAAGCTTCCGCAACCAAGCGGCACGAGCTTCCAGGGTTGGTAGGGAGGGACTGGATCCTCCGGATCGCGCTGCTCCAAGGGAAGCTCCTGCGCTTCGGCTGTTCACTGGGTTGGCCTGTAAGCCCTTGATGGGTTTAGGGTTTAGGGTTTAGGGTTTAGAGTTTAGAGTTTAGAGTTTAGAGTTTACGGTTTAGGGTTTAGGGTTTAGGGTCCCTTATATACACCCAAGCAAGGAGAATATATATATATATACATATATATATATAGAATATTCAAAAGCCAACCTAGTTCGGCTTTCAGGGATGGTGTTTTGGGGGCTTTCGGGGGTTGCAGGGGGCGATGTTTCTAGGGAAGAACCCCAACCCAGAGTCGTCCGAAGCCCCGGTGCTGAAACCCTGAAAGATAAAAACCTACTTGCCTAGCTGGAATTCCCCCCCCCCCCCCAATACCCGACATCCCTAACACCCCGGAAGCCCAAAAATGAACCTAGCTGGCACAGCAGCATGCACAGCGGTATCCTTGTACTTCCGGAGGGTCACTTTGGACCCGTTGATGACGTTGCACTCGCCGTACCACGTCCTGCTTTGGACTCGCCAGGGCCCCCTTTTAGGGAGGGGCTTGGAGGAGGTTTGGAGGGGCTTGGGCTTAGGGAAGGTGCTCATCAAATTTGGGGCTTTTGAGGGGTTTAGGGCTCAGGGGTCTTAGGCTCAGGGATGCAATGCAGGCTCGGTCTTTGAAGTGCGCGCGCGCTTCGGGACCCAATCGCTTTGAAGGGGGGTGGTTCAGGATTTAGGGTTCGGCGTGGCATGTCCGACGCTCTTGTTTTCTGGGCTCAACTCCGCAGTGCTGTCAGTCCCGTCCTACTATGTCGCAGTTTCCTGAGAAGCTGCTCCCGCATCCGACTGAGCTCACCGTCACCAAGCGTGCTCCATCTGCCGAGCACTTGTCAGAATCAGCGATGGTGTAGTAATAACCTTTGCAGCAGCACTTCCTCCCCACTTCGGAGCTTCCTTCGGCCTGGATCATGGAGGCCTCCTCTGGGGTAGGGCGTGCAAGCTCTGCGCTGGCCTGGTCCATGTTCAGGTTGGTGGTGTCTCGCTCGCGAAGCGCCAGCACGGAGGCCTGGAACACAATCCACACGAGGAGGCGCATGAACCCACGCATTATCGAACAACTGTTTCGCAGACGAGATTCAGGTAAGCCAAGAGCTTTGGGCCAACTTTGCTTCGGAGCGCAGTTAGGCTGGAAATGGCAAGCTATCCTGAGCGCTACCAACCCATCCTTACAGCTCCAAGCGATTGATTCTGATACGAAAGGCCTGCAAAAACTCCTGGAAACCATTTTGCTACTAAGCTCACCTCGTACAAGGTATCCCTTCTTTGAGACGACTCTGCTGACACTCTGGCCGACCCCTAAAACCCTGACACCCTGAACCCTAAATCCTCAACACCCCTAAACCCTAAACCCTAAACCCGAAACCCTACACCCTAAACCCTGAACCCTGAACCCTAAACCCTAAACCGAGACCCTAAACCCTCAACCCTAAACCCTAAACCCTAAACCCCCGAACCCCGGTTGCATCCTTTGGCTTCGGCTGTCGGAGGGGAAGAGGAGGGCAGCCCCCGGCTGCAGCGGGCCAACTGCCACGCCGTAGTTGCCGCGGCAACCTCCGGGCCGACTTTGGGTTTAGGGTTTAGGGTTTAGGGTTTAGGGTTTAGGGTTTAGGGTTTAGGCTTTAGGCTTTAGGGTTTACGGTTTAGGGTTTAGGGTTTAGGCAGACTTAGTATAAGAGGGAACATCCCAACTTTTGGGTTTGTGGGGTTTAGGGTTTATAGGGGGTTTAAAGGGCTTCGATTGGGTTTAGGGGTTTATAGGGTTTATAGGGTTACAGGGTTTTTAGAGTTTACAGGGTTCATAGGGTCGGTGGGTTTTAGGGGTTATAGGGCTTACAGGGTTACAAGGTTTTCAGGTTTCTAAAGGCTTATCGGGTTGAGAGAGTTTATGGAGCTTATAGGGCTTACAGGGTTTGTAGGGTTTAGGGTTTAGGTCTTGGACCTAAGGGTTTGGGAGATTTGGGGTTTGGGGTTGAGGGGATGTTCCTTAAATTTGCACTATGATTTAGGGACGGATATCCAATGGTCTTTGGAGTTCTGCGTATTCTAACGGCTGGTAGAGGTTAGGGGGCCTGGGGGGGGGGGGGGGGGCCCAAACCGTGAACTTCCAGTTCTTTTCAAGAAGCGATGCCTCATTACGTGTTTGTTTGGGGTTGAAAAGTTTAAGGGTTTCGGGTTTAGAGAGTTGAAGGGTCAAGCGCCTATGGGCTTGTCAAACCCCAAACCCTACACCCTAAACATGGACGGGGGGCTTTCTTCGATCAAGTCCATGAACGGGTGGTCCGAGCCCGGGTCAAACCTCACGCTCCGCGAGTAGTTCTGCCTCGGTGCGGGTTTGGGGCTCCTGCGTCATTCTAGCCGTAGTTAGGGTTTAGGGCTTTGCAGATAAAAATGAACCCACGAAGGCCCGATGAAGGGCCAGCGGCACATGCTTTCAGACTTAGGGCCCAGGGTGGGGTGGGGCTACTTGAGGGTTCATGGGTGGCTATTGCAAGCATGCTTACAAGTTTCTCAAGTAAATTATAGCTAGCAGCTAGTCATAACTTATGACTATGAGTAGACTTAAGCACCAGTGCGTTTCATGATCTAGCCTCATGGCTTTAGGGCTTTAACTCTGGAATACGGGGTCCTTGTGCTGTCAGGCTTAGACATCGGGTTGCGGGAGTTAAGTCTTCCGAGGTCCTTATAGGGATGTTTCCCCTGAACCCGCAACTGTTCAGAATCACCTCCCTCCAGTGTGGGGGTGGACTGGCCACCGAGGCGCTTGGCACCGCCAAATTGCTCCTACACAGCGCTGGATTGCAAGAACTCAGAGGGTTTAGGGTTTAGGAATTAGGGTTTAGGGTTTAGGGTTTAGGTTTGTAGGGTTTCTAGGGTATAATGGTGCATAAGATGCACTTGACGAGCCGAGGGGTCGGCTCTAGGAGGGGGATGCACACTAAGACCTCTCGGCGCAGCCAAGCTCTAGGCTCTGGATCTTGGGAACCCCCAAACTCCCTGCAGGTTTTACAGACAGCACGTTGAAATTCTTGGTTTAGGGTTTAGGGTTTAGGGTTTAGGGTTTAGGGCCCTCAGCTCATCCCATCCCTGCCAGCATGCGCGCCTGAAGACCACGAACGAAGTGCCTGCGCTCAGGAGGCATCGCCGAACCCCCCTCCTCCCCCCTCCCCCCTTCCCCCCGCCTCCCCTACACCCTAGCCTAAAAACTAAACCCTAAACCCTAAACCCAAAACCGTAAACTCAACAGGGCAGGTCAGATGCGGAGGGGCTCCAACCTGAGGACCTCGCATCTTCAGGAATCCGCTAACTAGCTGCGCTCGAATGTCGCGTGACAGCCGGCGAACGGCATCGACAAAGAGGGTTTAGGGTTTAGGGTTTAGGGTTTAGGGTTTAGGGTTTAGGGTTTAGGGTTTAGGGTTTAGGGTTAGGGCTTAGGGTACATGATTCCCTTCTTCTGAAAAAAGGGGATCTCCCTAAATTTGTGGAAGCCCTGGGTGCCCTAAACTTACTAGGTACCCCAAAACACCCTAAGCCCTAAACCCCAAACCCGAAACCCGAAACCCTAAACCCTAAACCCTAAACCCTAAACCCTTTCAACCCCAAGCGATCCCCCACTTCAACCCCAAGTAACCTCTACCTAGACCAAGTAAGGGCCTGTGCCGCTCCCCCAGCTCCCCTTCGCGGGGAACAGGGCCGGCCAAGGGGAAGATGATCCTGGCAGCGTGTTTCGAGGCTAGGGGTTTAGCGGGGGAGCTTAGGGGTTTTACGGGGGCTTCGGGGTGTAGGGGGGCTTGGGGGTTTAGGGGAGCTTAGGGGGGCTTAGGGGTGCTTAAGGGCCGGTTTTTTGTGTTTTTTTTTTTTTTTTTGGGGGGGGGGGGGGGTTAGGTCTTTCAAAAAGCGAAGAGTTGGGCTGTGCCGATGAAAGGAAGGAGGTCTGGGCGTGCAGCCTTGAGGGTTGAGGGTGAGTAAGGGGTGGGGTTTAGGGGGGATTCCTTAGCTTGACCCGTCTGCCTTCAAGAACCTAAATGATCAATGTAGCCGTTGCAAGCTCCTGGCTGGGTAAACACGAAGACCCTGGAACCTCTCGACCTGTGATCTCGCTCAACGACCCTGCCCGGTCCTTCCGCCTTCCGTGGGAACTTCCAGAAACACCAGCATCGTCCTTGGTTTAGGATCTAGGGAGGGGAAATCGCTCTAAAAATTCACCAATATCCCATGAACCCTCAACCAATCCTAAAGCCTAAACCCGAAACCCTAAACCCTAAAGCCTAAACCCTAAACCCTAAACCAGAAATCCAGCGTTGAAGGCTAGATGAACACACTCATGGGACTGGACACCAATGCTGGAAACCTGATGTTCAGCCTTGAAGTCCTAGCCGTGATAAGCCCCCTGGCCCTAACCTCCTTCAGGGTTTAGGGTTTAGGGTTTAGGGTTTAGGGTTTAGGGCTTAGGGTTTAGGGTAATCCCAAAACCCCTCTCATTCTGCCGCGGCTCCAGCTCCTGTGGGGCCTTGAGTCAGAGTCCTAAGATGTCGACCCTTCCCAGGGCGATTGCTTAAGGTTTAGGGTAGGCTTGGGGTTTGGGGTTTGGGGTTTAGGGTTTATGTAGGGTTTAGAGTTTAGGGTTTAGGGTTTAGGGTTTAGGGTTTAGGGTTTAGGGTTTAGGGTTTAGGGTTTAGGGTTGCTCAAGCACTTTGGGCGTTGCGCAAATCAAAACCAGCAGAGCTTAAGGCTCTTATGGCGTCCGCACGGTTTTGTGCTTGTTGTTTACTCGGGCGATTTGGGTTTCGGGCTTGACTGCTTGGGGTCTAGGCGTAAGCCCTAACACCCAAATAAATAAACCCCCCCCAAACGACCTTCAGAGTTTAGAGTCTACTTGACAAAGCCAGGGGCCTAGAATTTTGGGGGCAACATTCCCATGGCGCCTTTCTACTTCTGGGCAAAGGAGCCGTTTTTAGTGCAAGCAACCAGGCTTCAGCCCCCAAAACCCTAAACCCTAAACCCTAAACCCTAAACCCTAAACCCCTGAGTCGAACGGAGCGGCGTGGCGCAAACCCGCGGCTGGGAAGTGGCCCCCGCGCGGCTCCAAGGCATGTGGAGTCATGCCTCTGGCAGAAGGAGGTCTGGGTGGAGTTTAGGGTTTAGGGTTTAGGGTTTAGGGTTTAGGGTTTAGGGTTTGGGGTTTGGGGTTTGGGGTTTAGGGTTTAGGGTTTGGGGTTTGGGGTTTGGGGTTTAGGGTTATAGGGCATATGGGATGCCTTAAACCCTAAACCCTGCACCCGAAATCTTTGGGTTGAATGTAGGGCCTAGGGTTTAGAAACAGGGCCCCCGAAACCTCCGCCCGAAGCGATACCCCGAAGTATCTACTACCGAATTAAGCTAATATCGGGAACAGGGGATGGTTGGGTACCCATGGCAGTGGCTTGCTGTTGCAGAACCGGGCCTTATAGAATGCTTTGATAGGGCCGCTGATCAAAAGGTCACCTACAGAAGGGAAGCGATCTACAACCACCCCTGATATGATACGTTGCGGAGGGCTTCCACCTGAATCCGAAACCCTGCAGAGAGCTGTTGGAACTCCACCACAAGCAGCGCCAAACGACCAGCAACCCCTTTGGTGGCGGGAAGTTGCAAATGTTGACCTTTGAAGAACGGCTGCCCTGCTCTCTGATGCTCCGAGCCCTTACCCCCTAAACCCTAAACCCTAAACCCTAAACCCCAAACCCTGCTTCGCAATGCAGGCCCGGGCACGAACCATGCCCAGGATGTCCTCGTGCGGGTGGCTTGGGATGCCTGCAACTTCTGACATGTGCCTTCTCTTCGTAGCTTGCGCAGCTTTCACGCGAATACCCAGACGGTTTAGGGTTTAGGGTTTAGGGTTTAGGGTTTAGGGTTTAGGGTTTAGGGTTTAGGGTTTAGGGTTTAGGGTTTAGGGTTTAGGGTTTAGGGTTTACCTTCCAAAGCCTTTCAATACGGAAGCGTCCCTAGTTCACATGACGGTCTTACATTCGAACAGGGAGCGTTCATGACCCGAAGCCCCGAAAGCCTGGGCACATCGCTCCGACGAGGTGCGCAAGTCGCAAGGTCTCTATGCAAAGGTGTCCTTGCACCCTGCACCCTGTGCGCGCCCCAAGCCCTCGCAATCTAAACCCCTAAGGCCCAGAACAGGGTTCTTGCGAGGGGCTTCAGTGAGGTTTATCTGCATTCTTCAAGGAGCTTGCAGTAAGTTACCTTCATAGGGGGGGGGGGTCTACCTTCGTTACGATATTATTTTTTTGCATAACCGGATTATGGTAGCTTAATCCTCAAGGAGACCCAGCTGTAACTTAGAGGATGCAGGGCAGTGCCCACTGACGTGTGCCCGGTCGCATGAGCCTCTCGTGAGCATCTCAGCCCTGAAACCTCAAGCTGTCTTGTGCTAGAGGCGCTCCTCTTTGTAGGTACATGTATGTGTATGCATGTATGTGAATGTATGTATAGATATAGATAGATATAGATGCGCATATATGCACGTTTTTGTATACAGGTGTGCGTGTGCGGATATTTTTGTATGCACACGTGCAACAACATATATGTGCGTAGATCTGGTGTGTGTTGCCTGGAAAAGGACTCGGTCAGCTTCCTGCATCATGAATCTGCCAGGGGGTCTTGCGGGAACCTAGAACCTGTCCGCCCTAAATATCGCACCCAAGAAGTGGCCCATTTCCGCCTGTGTGGTTCGCGATCCGCTGCTCGATTCGGCTGATGATGGGGTCCTGCCTGTTGTTCCGACTGAGGGCACGTGGTCAAGGGCTTCCCCCAAACGTGTCCCGAACAAAACTCCGCAAAGTCTTCAAGCACAGAGTGCAGGGAATAGACTGAGGAATCGCGTGGTCTGCTGAGAGCTTCGGGGTTTGGGGTTTAGAGATGTCAGGGAGAGGCTTTTCAAGATTGTCGCGCTCCCTTTTGCCACTCCAAACCCTGGACAAACTCGACGCCAAAGTCAGCAAACATGCAGCGTTTTCATGAGCCGCAATACTCAGAACTCAACAAACCTTCGAAGATTCCTTAAGTCACGCTAAGGATGCTACTCTGATGGCCGATGGCCTTGGGAAGTTCTAGATAGATCGCGGCAAACATCCTGGCCCTGTTTGAAAAGCTACAGCGGCAAAAACGCCATGCAACCCTCGCGCGCGAAACCCTCCAACCTGAAGACCTTGACAAACTTACTTGCAAGTACACATAAATCCATGTGTATATAAGTACATCTTTAAGAATACATACATATTCTCGCCCACATGAGCCTACTTGCTGTGTTTAGCAAAAGCCAGGTGAGATCTCGAGCCTGGCGGCAGCGATGTAGCCTTCTACCTTGGGCGCGAACTCGGGGCTCCCAAACAGTGTGGGACCCAACAAAAACACCGAAGAGCTCCCCCACAACGAAGCGTTCGCACCTCGAACCCTTGAACCCTAAACACTACCGAATCTAAAGTCCTAAGCCACTACTAGGCATGGCCCAAGAGCCCGCAGCCGTTTCAGGTGTAGGGGTTCATAGGGTTGAGGATTCAGGTGGTTCCCGACCCGAAACACCCAACCATGCCACCCCATATAGCCCTGAGCCCAAAAACGGCCCAGGGCGTCCCCTAAACCCTAAACCCTAAAAACCCTAAACCCTAAACCCTAAACCCTAAAAGCCCGTGCTCTTCATGCCAGGCGCCGGCAGCTCCAACTCAGGATGACCCCCGGGGCCCCATCCGTGGCCGGCCGCGAAGGTGAGGAGATACCTGGGCGGAGGTGGCGTTCGTTTAGGGTTTAGGGTTTAGGGTTTAGGGTTTAGGGTTTAGGGTCTAGGGTTTAGCGGTTTAGGGGTTTCGGGGTTTAGTGGTTTAGGGTTATAGGGGAGGCTTGACGAGCAATTGGTAAGAGACAGGGGTTAGGGTTGATGTGCAGGGGTGTAGAGGCAGCAGGGTGCAAAGCCGCTGAAGTGGAACATGCCCACGCCGCTCCCACCCTTTTTATTCAATGGGGTTGATCGTGGAACCAAACCCAAGAGAAGGGCATGGCTACAAGGGCAACTGGGCATCCTAGTTCACCACAGCCGTGGGCACCACAGGTTCTCATGAACAAAGAACCCGTTCTCCCTTCCCTACCCCTAAGGGGTACGAAAGAACTGGAACTGCTGGGTACCCTAAGGAACCCCCCCCCCAGGGTTTAAATTTTCGTGACAAAGGATCACAATGCTTGAGCGAAAATGGCCTACGCTATTGCTGGCTGACATACAGCTTCGCGCTGGCGCAAGCTGGAGCAAGTAACCAACAAACTTTCTCAGCCGTTTGCCCGTGGAGCCTAAGAACAGAATCCCCTTAACTGTCAGCCCAGGCAGTTGACGTGCAGCGTTTCCAACGTAGCGCTTTCTGCCTGAAGTCTCCCCTAACAGGGAAGAGGAATACACATTTCAGAACCTCCCAATGACCCTTGATACCCCAAAGCAGAAACCTTGCTTGCCTGAACCTGTCCCGTAATGAGCTTGACAAGAGGCGAAACCTCAGCAGATGACAGGAACGCATCGTACTGGAAGATTTGAGTCGCGTTGTCTACCTCAGAACAGACTCCTTACCCTAAACCCTAAACCCTAAACCCCTAAACCCCTAAACCCCTAAACCCCGAAACCCCGAAACCCTAAACCCTATATAAACCCTAAACCCTTAAACCATAAAAACCCAACCCTTGAGCCCAAAACGCTCAACCCCTGAGCTGGTAGACGCGCGCGCGCGCCTTTCCGCTTGGTGGATGGCGGAGGGTACATGCAAGAGAAACAGCTGCGCATATCACAGCGGGTCCAACCCCCAAAACCCTAAGTCACTGAACCCCCAAACTCCAAAGCCTCTGAACCACCAACTTTAACCTTAAACCCCCAAACCCATGAACCCATGAAGTAGGGGGTGTTACTGACAAACACTTGACCACAGTAGGCATCTACAAAAGTCTTGGCTCCACCCCCTCGTTTGAAATCCCAACTTTCGAAAGGCTGTTGCGTACTCCAGGAGAACACACGCCCATGGAATCCAATGTCCCGGAATTCGGGAATACTCCTTCACGGCGGCAGCCCTACTAGACTTGAAACAATCTTTAAACAATTGATATGGGTAGTTCTTTACAATATGGTACGTCTTGGATCCCCTATATAACGCGGACGCCCCCCAACAGGGACGCGAATTTAGACAGCTACCCGTCATTACTTAGTAGCCCAGCAGCCATATTCAATTAGGGTGTCCTCTTAGTCTTTCGGGCTTGGTTACATGATAAGCGAATCCAGAACCAAAAACAAAGAGAAAGCGTGACGCTGGCATACACATAATGAGAGTCTCTGGGTACTATAGGGTTCAGAAAAAGTTACCAATCAAAAAAGTATTCCCATATGGTCCCTTTAGAATAACACCAAGAAAACCCCCCCGAAATCCTATCCTAATTCTCAAGGCCCCGATATGGACAGTTCTCTAGATCATGGTCCCTTTTTTGGGTACCCTAAATAAGAGCGGCCGCCTTAGAATAAGGACCCCAAAAAGGACCACAACTTAGAGAAATCACCATATGAAGCTCCCCGAGGTGCCACGTGGTACGCCGGCTCCTCCTCGGGAGCCGGCACGCTGCTCTCATCGAACTCCGCGTTCCTCCTGGAAGCCGCTTGCGGCTTGGTGAGGTTGGAAGTTTGCTCCCCTAAGCCCTAAACCCTGCAAACGGACAAAATGCTCTGACATGAACGGAAACTCGGAGGGCCACAAAAAATGTCCCAGCGCGGCGGCCCTAAGCCCCAAAAAGAATGTTTCTTCAACAGTTAGGGTTTTGGGTTTCGGCTTTAGGTACTGAAATCTATCCTGAAAACCGAGATGAGACGATGAGGGTTTTGGTTCTGACTTGTTCTTGTTTTGTTGTCTTTGGTGAGTTTTGGGGCTTCGGGCTTTGGGTTCCTAGGTGAAAGGCTTCGGCATGGCCCGGCTGACGGCTGAACTCCGAACTCCGTCGCCTCTGGATGTAGAAGGCAAAGCCGGCACCAGTACCTTGCGCTGTGGGTTTAGGGTTTAGGGTTTAGGGTTGAGGGTTGAGGGTTCAGGGTTTAGGTTGAGGGTTCAGGGTTCAGGGTTTAGGGTTTAGGGCTTGGGGTTTAGGGTTTAGGGTTCTTACCAAGCCCCCCGAACCCATGCGAACATAGGGGTACCTTAATGGGGGTCCTTGTTATACGGGAATCCTACTCTTTGCGAGTCTACATCGGGGTCCCCCTTTTTCGTAAACCCCCATAGATCTCTGCACCAATAGCAGGTAAAGAATCCTATGAACCGGTGAGAGGTTGATATATATATATATATAGGATCCTACAGATTGAGGCAATGTGCCAAAGATGCCCAAAGAGCTGAAGCCCAGGTACGGTGCGAGAGTGCAGCTTTCTGGCTTAGCAGGCTTTGGAAGCGTCTGAGCTTGAATTTCAGCGCGTGCCTCAGGCGCTACTCCAAAACAGTGGTGGTAGGAGTCGGAGAACGGAAGTCCCTCAACCCTAAAACCCTCAACCCTAAGCCATAAAACCCAAGAACTCTAAAGCCCTAAACCCTAAACCCTAAAACCCTCAACCCTAGACCCAGAGAGTTTGATGTGCTGGGGGGGCAGAGGCGCAGCAAGGATCCGATGATGGTCCGCGACCTTTCTGCTTCTAGGATTCTATGGCTTAGGGGGTTTAGGATATGGGTTTAGGGTTTAGGGTTTTAGGGCTTAGGGTCTGGACTTCTTGAAAAAATCTAAGGCTTAGGGTGTTAAGGGGGTATAGGGTTTCAGGGTTTCGGAGCTTTTGTAGGGTTTTTACACGGGTCAAGGTCTTTTAAGGGGGGTTTAGGGTTTGAGGGTTTGTCCATGGAGCTTTTACGGTTCAGGTGTGTTAGGGTTTAGTGGTTACCGGCTTACGGGGGTTCAGGGGTTGTAGGTGTTTTGTGGCATGTAGGCTTGGAGCAGTTTCTTAAAGATGTGTTTAATCTTCTGTTGGGGGGGGGGGGGGGGGGGTGGGGGCTTTTCACAATCAGGCCGCATACTGCTGGACCCTCTTCTGGCTGTGTGCACTTACACTTTCCTACGGCAACGGCGCAGCCCTTCGAGCATCTGCAAAGGCCGGACGGCTAACCTCAACCATAACCCTAAACCCAAATGGGCCCTTAATCAGCCTCAAGAAAAGAATTTGGGGCCCTTACACATCCCTCCCCTCTGCTAAACCAACCCCATAGACCCTACGCCCCGCATCAACCCCTAAACCCTCGTAACACCCCCAAAAAGCCCAAGCCTTTGGAAGTTTCAACAACATTTGTTCTAGGGCGTAGGGTTTTAGGGCTTCGGGGTTTAGAGCTCAGGTTTTGGGGTTGGGAGCCTTGACGAGGCTGAAACATTGGGATACTTTTAGCCCGTAACCCTAAACCAGTAAACCCTAAACCACGATAACCCTGAGGCACCGCTCAGGCCCCATCTTTCCACGACGGCCAGCAGCCCGGTTTTCTCCGCCCCCCTCACCCTCTGCGGCAGCGCTGTCGTCTCACAGGAGCTTCTCGAAGGGGCTTTGGGGGAGGCTTTCGCGGCTTAGGGTTCTGTAGGGTTGTTTAGGAGTCAGGCATGAGGGTTGAGGGTTTGCGGTTAATTTGAAAGGATTTGGGGGGGGGGAGGGGGCGGGGGTTTGCGGTTTCGGGCTTGAGGAACCCGAAGGCGAAACAAAAGGAACAAGTCAAGCCTTGGCGGAAGACAAACCTCGCAAGCCCCGAGAGAAACAGCGGGGTTTTGGGTTTGGGGTTCACGTAGATCCATGCTCCTTTATGCACCATGGGAAAGAGCCCCTTACAAAAGGAATCTATAAAGAGCAAATCTACCTTGCACGGTTACTTTGGGGCCTGACATTTTCAACAACTACCAAGTATCGGAATTTCCCAAAAGCGAAGAGGCCCCTGCACAACCCCCTCCAAAACATCCTTATGCCCCAAGATGCTGCTGTAATGCTTCCCCCCCCCCCCCCCCCCCCAGTTCCCTACACCCTAAACCACAAACCCTAAACCGTAAACCCTAAACCCTAAAACCCTAAACCCTAAAAACCTAAACCGCTTTGGGGTTTAGGATTTCGGGCTTGACGTCGGCTGGGAGCCTCCTTCCGCTGCGCCCCGACGTTTGCGAAGCGCTGAGGTGAGCATGGCCGGCTCGGGCCAAGGGCAGCTTGAGACTTTGGGCTGTAGATCTCGGTTGAGGGTTGGTATAGGGTTTAGGTTTTAGGGTTTAGGTTTTAGGGTTTAGGTTTTAGGGTTTAGGGTTTGGGGATTTTGGGGCTTAGGGACCCTGAAGATGTCTTGATCTAAATTCTTGGATCTCGCCAAGTAAGGTCCTGCCTTTAGAGTTTGGAGTTGTGGATGCAGATTAGATGGGTGCTTGACCTGCCAAACACGAAGCGGCGATTGCTTTAGGACAACCTTCTGATTTGAAGGTTCATGTGTATTTACTAAACAGGGTTTAGGGTTTAGGGTTCAGGGTTTAGGGTTTAGGGTTTCTTCACACCGTCTGGTTCATTACAGGACCCCACCAACATCTCGACCCCAAACCCGAACATGGACTGACAAGGACATCATGCCCCACTCCAATTCCGACTGCCACACGAGGAGACCAGGCACCTTCCCCCAGGTTTGCGCGCACTGAAACCACGAACAACTCACTGCACCCGAACCGCTGAAGCCTATGTTTGGGTTCAGGGTTTAGGGTTTAGGGTTTAGGGTTTAGGGCTTAGGGTTTAGGGTTTAGGGTTTAGGGCCTAGGGGCCCTTTACCCTTTGCTGCCTTTGCCGAACGCACTGATGGCCGCATTGATCGTCACCTCCGTCGGCTCCTGGTCGGCTGCAAAAGCCATAGTCGCATTGGATGCTCAACCCTAAACCCTAAACCCTAAACCCTAAACCCCAAGAGTTCAGGGTTGAGGGGCCATCGGAAAATTTGGCGACCATGGCTCCCACACCCCAGCCCCCACACTATTGGGGGGGAGACCCGGTCAGTGGCGGTTCCACGACTCCCCAAGATCGCACCCTAAGTCCCGTGCTTAAATTAGAATCCCTTCTGGGGGGAGTCATTACGAATATTACAGTACGGAGCTCATATATAGGACAAACATCGAGGTACCTCAACTTACATCTGCCGTCCCCAGCCTCGTATGCTCTTAATTCAGCGGACGACTTGGGCTTGTGTTTATGACCGGCTTAAGACTCGGGGCATTCTGGTACCCTGCTATTAAACCCTAAATTACTGGAAGGCTGTACATGTGCAGTTCTCGACATTATGGCGTTCGGGGTTCCTAGTGTAATAATAAGGAACCTTATATTTGCGGTACCCAAAAGGGCCCGCCTTCATTTAGAGCATCTCAGACAGAGCTTATAGAGTTTAGGATCCCGGGTGGGGGATTCGGCTTGTGCGCAGGTGATCAACCCTAACCCTAAACCCTAAACCCTAAACCCTAAAACTAAACCCTCAGCTGCCTTGCAGGACTTCGCGGAGTTCATGATACATTCCTGAAGCCCCTAAACCCTATATCACTCCGAAACCTTTAAGCTAACTCCTAAACCGCCTAAACCCCGTAAGTCCAGAACCCCCAAACTCCTACACCCTAAGCCCCCAAAAAACAAGGTCACGCCGCTGTTAGCGGCCCTGGACCGTTTGCGCGCGGAAATGTGGTTTTAACCCACGCAGGGCAGCGTTTGACAAAAAACGGGGTTTTGTCGGCGGAAGTTTTTTTTCAGGACTTGGAGTGATTATAAGGTGGTGTGTTGCTCGAAAGCAGTGTTTTCAGCATTTCGCAGTGCTGACTGTGGGGATGCGTGTTTGCGACTTCTGCGCGTTTTTGGGTTTTGTGTTTTGTCACTGTTCAGGGTGGAAAGGGGGTAACTGCGATGTGTGTTTTATGTTGAAAAGTGCCACGCCTGCCAGTGTTTTGAGAATCCCGCATGTTTTTTGGGGGTCTGGAGTGTTCAGGGTGCAATGGGCTTGCAGTGGTTCAAGTGTAGGGCTTTGGGGTTGCGCAGAGACGTCAAGCACGGAAAGCACGGTTTTGGTCGCGAAAGGCATGGACGCTTGTGACAGATTTTCTTGTTCCACATCCTGGTGCAGTATGTTGTACAAAGAGGCGAAGACGCTGTAAATACCAGTGTTTTGTGCATGGACGTATCCCCCCCCCCCCCCCCCCCACCCCCCCACCCCCAACCCCCAAAGACAACCGGAACAAGTCACCAAGAAGTGCCAAAACTAACGTTTTACCCAGGGCCGCTAGCAGCCGCGTGAGCAAAAACAACTATAAACCAATTCCTAAACTCCTGAACTCTCCTAAACCCCTCAACTCCTGAATTCTCCTAAACCCTAAACTGCTGAACTCTCCTAAACCCCTAAACTCCTGAACTCAGTTCTGAACCCAGCGGCCTCCCCCAGCGTTCTCAAGATCGCAAAGAGCTCCGCGGCCTGCAACGCCAAAGCACAAAGAGGCTTCCCTTGAGATGCCCTCCCTCCCCCCTCAACCCTCAACCCTCAACCCTAAACCGTAAACCCTGAACCCTAAACCCTTGAGATGCTCTCCCTCCCCCCCTCCTCCCTCCCCTCCCTGCCTGAATCCAGGCATCACTGCAGGAGCTGATGCCTAGACACAGGCACTTCGGGGCACCTGTAGGGCTTTCGGGATGGAGGGCTGAAGCCTCAACCCTAAACCCTAAACCCTAAACCCTAAACCCTAAACCCTAAACCCTAAACCCTAAACCCTAAACCCTAAACCCTAAACCCTAAACCCTCACCCTTCTTAGGGGGTAGGAGGGGCTAGCCCCAAGAAGCTCGGACCTCAACGGGCTGCAGAAGCCTTTGGGCGGGGGAGGTTTTGGGATTTCTGCGGCCCTGAGCGAGAAGGCACTGCTGATCAGCAAAAGAAAACAAACCACGAAAGTCTCATGTCACCTCTCCATCCCCAACCGCAAACCCCAAACAGCTAGCAGTCCTTCAGCGGATGGCTCCTCCGCAGTACTTGTGATTGTGGACCACCGCGCGCAAACTCATCTTGCCCCGGACACTGAACCCTAAGTTCTAGACGATTCTAAACACCGAACCTTAAACATCAAAATGACAACACATATTTCCGAAACCGCTACAGAAGCTCATGCTCTTGCAGACTCTTACGCCCGCAGGAGAGCCACAGACTTGTATTTCACTCCAAGTGCTGCCTTTGGGGGGCTTGCACTTGAAGGTTTCCTCGATCTCCAAGAGCTTGGGGATCGGAACTCTGGGATTCGGGTTTCGGGAGGATCTCAGAGATCTTTTAGGGCCTCTCCCAAGACAGAAAGGTCAGGTGGCAACAAGCCAGCCACCAACCCAAAAAATGATCCGACCCTTGGCACGAAATCCTCTTCTACGCCGTGGCTGTCTTCTGGTAAACACGACCCCGTGCGTTCTGAGCCACCGAAGCCCAAAGATCCAATTCTAGACCCTAAACCCTAAACCCTAAACCCTAAACCCTAAACCCTAAACCCTAAGCCAAAAACAGGGTACCCTCTCTTGTTGAAACCCGAGACCCTGAAGACCAGTCAGCTCTTTGAGATGCCTGTGGTGCAGGTGATCACGTCCGCTCGGAGCCCCCAGTCCTGGCCACAGGCAAGCGAGTGCCTGAAAGGAGGTTTAAGGTTTGGGGTTTGGGGTTTGGGGTTTAGGGTTTAGGGTTTAGGGATGTAGGGTCAAAACCATTCTAACTCGGAAGCATGAACTGGCATGAACGCTTTAAAACCAATGTGGCAGAGAGCAGAATCCCCACTCAAAGGGCTCCCCCCCCAAAAGCATTGCCCTGAAACCCTAAACCCTGAACCCTAAACCCTAAACCCTAAACCCTGAACCCTAAACCCTAAACCCTAAACCCTAAACCCTAAACCTTAAACCTGCAACACCTAAACCACCGGCATTCGGGCTCAGGGCTTGGAAGCCTGGACTCGGGCGAAGTGCGACAGTGCCATGGGCCAGGTGCCTACGACGCAGGGTTTAGGGCTTCGGGTTTCGGGCATTTAAGGTGGGTTTTAGTTGTTTTTAAAGGATTTTAGGGTTTTAGGGGTTTTGGGCTTAGAGTTTCAGGCAGTTTCAGGTTTTTCCCGAAAGCCTTCAAGCCCTCGGGGATTGTTTTGGGCCTAGGAAAAATAAGATGACCCCTGCAATGGACCCCCTAAAGTGTAGGACTCCCTTACAGTAAGGACGCCCATAAAGGGCTTCAGGCACCGAGCCCAGGGTTCGGAGCTCGGGCTGCGCGAGATGCTGTGTGTGTTCTTGTGGGGGGGGGGGGGGTGATCCATCCAGGCCACACCATGCCAATCCCTCATATATGATCGTTTTCGAAAAAAACCCTAAACCCTAAACCCCAAACCCTAAACCCCAAACCCTAAACCCTAAACCCTAAACCCTAAACCCTAAACCATGGTCCACAGGAAAGTTCTCCGAAAGACATGCGAGGGATTGGGAAGAGAGCCTTGTCAGCTTGCATCCGGCAGCTTCACCTGCAACCTCCTGGGTCCGAACTAGACCCCTAAACCCCTAAAACCCCCCAAAAAAACCTAAAGCCCTGAGCCTTACAACCCTACACCTTAAAGCCCTAAGCCTGAAAAACCCCCAAAACCTTAAAACCCCTAAAACATCTTGGGGGGTGGCCAGGAGTCAGGGTGGAAGCGCAGCCTTTGCAGCTCATGGCACACGGGCATCAAAACTTGATCTCTTTTCGTCGGGGTCTCGGGTTTAGGGCTTAGGGCTTAGGGCTTAGGGCTTAGGGCTTAGGGCTTCGGGCTTCGATTGGGGCTTGGGATTTACTCAGGGTTTAGGAGTTCGGGTTTAGGGTCTGGGCTACACCCTGAACCCTAAACCCTAAACCCTGAACCCCAAACAAACAACAATTCCAGTGCTCAGGGTCTCGGGTTTGAATGGCCTCCATCCGCAGCGGCCATGGCCGCGTTGTGGGAGACGCCGTCGCCGGACGCCTGGTCTGCAAGCGCGCGACGCCCAGGGCTTCAGGGGGGCTTGGGTGATTTAGGGTTTGGGGTTTAGGGGGTTTAGGAATTGGGGATTTAGGGTTTTGGCTTTAGGACGTTTAGGGCTTCAGGGGGTTTGGGAGGTTTTGGGGTTGAGGGTTTAGGGTTTTGACTGGGTCCCTGAGGCAATACCGGACCCTTGTAGGTAGACCTCACCCCCTTCCAAGGCCTGAATCCTGAACCCCCCGAAATCCGCTAAGAGCCGGTTACATCGTGGGACTCTACGTTGGACCGCTTAGGGGAACATCATGAGAGATCTCAACATTTCTGTTCGGGTATCCTACTGTAGGACTCCCGTCTTATTCCGAATTCCGTCAAGATAATGACACGGACAACTACCCCCTGCAAACCCGAACACCCCACAACCCAAACCTGAAACCTAAACCCTAAACCCTAACACTCTAACACCCGACAACCCAAACCTTAAACCCCAGAAGTTCCATCTCGCGGAGAACAGAAATTCACAAGGCGAGGGGGAGGCATACAGGGGTTAGGGTTCAGGGTTTAGGGTTTAGGGTTTAGGGTTTAGGGTTTAGGGTTTAGGGTTTAGGGTTTAGGGTTTAGGGTTTAGGGTTTAGGGTTTAGGGTTAAAGCCCCCTGAACGTTACACCTCAACCGCCCGAGGCAAAGTCGTATCACAGGAATCCTGAACACTGACAGAGTTGAGGGTTTAGGGTTTAGGGAGGTTCGCCGTGTCTAAACTTTAAACCCCCCCAGAGGCCATTCTTGAACGGAGGGGTTCCCAAAGTGGGGGGTGCCTTCAGAAAGCTTGAAGGATGCGAGAATTTGGGGTATGTCGGGATAGTTCCTATTTTCGGAATCCCCCGATTGCTATCCTCTACAACCCAGTAAGGGCCCACCCAAACGCCCCGAGCTAGTTGGACAAAACGCGCTTGGACCACGACCGCCAAGTTCAGAGCAGAAATGGACAGCTGCCACTGGCGACCTCCCCCCCCCACGAAACAAGCGTCGTTGAACCATCCTAACCTTCTTTGCAGGGAGTCTCGGGTGTGTGGGCTTAGGGTTTAGGGTTTTGGGCTTGGGGTTTAGGGTTTAGATTCGGGTTTAGGGTTTTGGGTTCAGGGGTTAGGATTCTCATTCAAGGGTTTCGAGTTTTCGCGGGATTTTCGACCTCGCTTCCCGGGTCTGGAGGAGTAAATGACTGACTACAGACCGCCTCAAAATTCACAGACCCGATCGTCTGAGCCCTCGGCAGCCCGTCTTCCATGCAATCAAAGAAGGGACCCCGAGTTGTCGGAAACCCCGATTTGAGTTTACGGGAGTAGGGTTTAGGGGCTTAGTAAGCGGCTTAGGTTGGGATGTGCCCCCTTACGCGAGCAGTCCTTAGTCGGGATTCTTATTGGGGGATACTCGAATCCCTATTAAGGTTAGAAAAAGGGGGAACTAAACCCTAAACCCTAAACCCTAAACCCCAAGGGCTTGGTGCAAAAACACGAGGGGTCCCCCAGCCCACAAGAGCAACCCCCTGACACGGACCACGCCTCGGGTTAGCGCCGTGAGGCCTTGGTGTGTGCCAGGAGGCTGCCGTTCAGGGTTTAGGGTTTAGGGTTTAGGGTTTAGGGTTTAGGGTTTAGGCTTTGGGGTTCTTTGTGTGATGCGTTCGCGGGCTGCAGCAATCGACTTTCTGCGCGTGAGGATTTCCGAGTCAAGAATTGAGTCCCCTAACTGCAGACTTGTGCTACCAGTAACATGTTCTATCCTGCTTGTGGGGGGTTTCCGAGAGTCTATATCAAGGGTCACTTTTTTTCGTAAACCCGCGTTTACGTCGGGAAGCAACAGCAGCTAGATCAGAACAAGTAGTGTTTTTGAAGCGAAGGCCAGCATGTACAAAAGTCACCGGGGTGCCTATAGGGTTTAGGGTTTAAGGTTTAGGATTTAGGGTTTAGGGTTTAGGGGTATCTACTTGAGCAGCAAATTCAAGAATCAGCAGTCTTGCTTTAGCTTTCCAATCGCCACTTCTCCGGTTCTACTTGTCATCGACTGTTCTGGGAGATAACATAGAAAGCCAATGGACAGACCGCAACGGGCAAATCTTGGAACACTCGGAGACATATGGAAGAACGAAGAGAACAAATGCAACACGTAAGGACTGCTGCCAAATGACTTTCAACTGAACTCAAAAAGGGAGGCAAAAAGCGCAGCATGCCCTGGAGAACCCTTGCGAAAGCTGGGAGACTCCCGCCCAGGTCGCCCTCCCCGAAAACCGAAGATCGCTGGGAGCCGGGGAGGGCTACTTGCCAGGTGAAAAAACTTACCTAAGGACCTAAGCCAAAGACAACTGCAGGCAATGGGCATGTAAAGCGACGAAACCGAAACCCATGGTGTGAAACCAGTTGCAGCCCCCACGTCCTAGAAGCGGAAGTAGGGTGAAGTAGACATACTGCCAATGATATGGATCAAGGCAACCCCCTTCTCATGGGATCCTCTACTACCCCCACCCCCCCCCCCTCACCTTACCAACCCCCCTAAACCCCAAACCCCCCAAGCCGAAAAGAGGTCCAAGCAACCCTTCAATAAGCCATATTTGGTGCCCATTTCGAGGAGTCGTTAGCATGGGATCCCTAAACTCTTAACCCCAGATACCCAGATAGCCTTGGTTTAGGGTTTAGGGTTTAGGGTTTAGGGTTTAGGGTTTAGGGTTTAGGGTTTAGGGTTTAGGGTTTAGGGTTTAGGGTTTAGGGTTTAGGGTAGTAGAGAATCCATCCTATGGCCCCTGGGGCCAGCAGCCGGAGTTCAGCTGGCTCTGCGCCACCTCCAGCTGATGGCGCGAGGCACTCCTCAGGTCCGGAAGGCTTTTTTTTTAGGGTTTAGGGTTTCGGGTTCAGGGTTCAGGGTTTAGGGTTTGGGGTTTAAAATGATTCGGTTCAGGGCTCAGGGTCTAACGCTCAGAGGGCTTCAGCTCCGGGCAGTTCGGGTTTAGGGTTTGTGGGACTAGAAGGGGCACCAAGGGCCACAGAAAACCGCGAAAACGTGATATCAGATAGGATGGTTCAGGGTGCTTCCCTTTATCCCTTAGAATTCTACGCCCTCATCCCAAAACCCGGAACCTTAAACCCTGAGCCCGAAGCAGCTTCTGGCTCCCTTATCTAAGCCCCCAAACTCCCCGAAACCATCAAACCCCTCCACAGATTTTAGGGTTTGGGGATTCAGGATTTAGGGTTTTTGGAGGGTTTAGGGTTTAGGGCTTATCTGGGCTCAGAGAGTTTGTGGGGGTGGGGTTTCTTAGTATTTGAACCAAAACCCTAAACCACCTTAAAGACAGGCAGGGATGGCTGTTGCTTTCGTGGCCGGGTCGGGGGGAAAGGGTGACACATGATTTCAGACAGCCACAGCCCAAAAACCCTAGAGAAAAAAAAAAAAAAAACTGGAAGACCCACAAGTACGTTCAGGGCTCTGGAGGATGTCGATGGCCGATTTCCACAGCAGGCCGGTGGCCGCCGCGCCTGGGAACTGGAGGCAAAAAGGCTTCAAGGCTTTGAGGGGTTTCGGGGGCTTAGGGGCCTAGGGTTTTAGGTTCAGGGGTTTTGGGGCGTTTTTAAGTATTTTTCGTTCGAGGTTCAAGCTTCAAAGCCGTTGAGATTTTTTAGGGTTGGCCTGAGGTAGGGTTTGGGGTCACGTATACGTGACCCTCAAAGCACTGCGCTGCCTTCTCCAAGAGCTAAGTGGGTTTAGGGTTTAGGGTTTAGGGTTTAGGGTTTAGGGTTTAGGGTTTAGGGTTTAGGGTTTAGGGTTTAGGGTTTAGGGTTTAGGGTTTAGGGTTTAGGGTTTAGGGTTTAGGGTTTAGGGCGAGCAACTCGCCGAATCCAGCCTCCAGCTTGACCCCAACCCCCAAACCCGCAAACCCTGCACCCTGAATCCTGAGCCCAAAACCAGAAACACCGAAACAAAACTTCAAACCCCTCAGCCCCTGAGGCAGGGGTCAAGGTTCCAAGCGTTAAGCCCTAAGCCCTAAGCCCTAAGCCCTAAGCCCTAAGCCCTAAGCCCAAAGCCCAAAGCCCAAACCCCAAAGCCCAAAGCCCAAACGCCCTAAACCCTACCAAACCCTAAGCCCTAAGCCCCAAACCCTGTTGCAGCTTCACCCCCTGTGATTGGAGGCTGGGCGCCCATGGCAGCCGTCAGCGCCGGAAGGTCCGGGCGCAGGGACCGGCTCTTGAGCTGCTGGAAGAGGCCCACGGCCTGCGGAAGGATAGGTTCAGGGTTTAAGGTTTAGGGTTTTGGGGTTTAGGGTGTAGGGTTTAGAGTTTAGGGTTGAGGGTTTAGGATTTAGGGCTTGCAAGGTTTGAATTTGGGCTTACAGGTTTAGGGTTAGGCTTTAAAGGAATCTGGGGCTCAAAGGTCTTGGGAAGACCCTGAAGGTTGTATTGCAAGCTGTTCGAAACTGCCTCTAGCCCTGGCAATCGGGACCTAAACCCCAAACCCTAAACCCTAAACCTCAAACCCCAAAACCCGGCAGGGCTGGAGTTGAGGGCCGCCCTGTGCCCGAGTTTAACTCAGGCTAGCATGGTAGGGGTTGATCCTAAACCCTAAACCCTAAAGCCTGAACCCTAAGCCCCAGAGACTCCAAAAAGGCCCCCCGAGAGGAAAAACTTCCGAATGGCTCGGGCCTCTGCTTACTGGTTCTCCGGAGGGAATGAGGGAATTCGGTACTCTACATCCGCCGCATATTCCCTTCCAGGGATTAGGGTACCTCAGTCTCTCATTCCCTACTAAGAACCAGTGGGCTGATGGCTTCATACTCAGCTCTACAAAGCCGTGCAACGACCAACTTGCGTTTCAAGTGTAGGGGGTTATGGGGCTTAGTGTGGCAGAGGTTTAGGGGTTTGGGGCTTCGGGGGTTGGAGGTTGACCCTAACTCCAAACAGCTCTCCTACTGCACGGCATGTCAAGGACGCTGCCCGGAACCACCGTCCGCCACGGTGCGCAGCACCTTGCGAGATGACGGCACAGGTCGAAAAAACGCACAAGCGTTTAGGATTTAACGGCAAACCCCCCCTCCAAAAAAAAAAAAAAAAAACCTAGAAAAACCCTAAAAAGCCGCGAAAAGCCCCAAAAACCCGAGAAACCCCTATGCCATTTTGCCAGACCCTTTCAAGGACGAGGCTCCAAAGATCCTGTGTCGGATTTATAGCGCGGTAAGCTTTAAGCAGCTGCTGGCACTGGATAGGCCCCGGTGACAATTCTTAGGGCTTCGAGTTTAGGCAGGCTGGCCCTACACCCTAAACCCTTAAAAAAACACATGTCGACGTCGAGTCTGCGAGTAGCTTCAGGTCTAGGAGGTCTTGGACGAGTACTACGCGGGGTTTGGGATTTAGAATCTTCACAGTTTAGGGCATTGGGGTTCAGGGTTTAGTAACCCTAACCCCTCAACCCTAAATTAGCCAAAATTAGCCATCTTTCAAGAACGATGCTTTACTGATCGTCGGGCCAGGAGCATTCAAGCTGTGAAGGCATAGGCTTCAGGGCTTGGCGAGGGCAGGCCCGGCTTCGGGTTTAGGGGGTTTAGGGGTTTTAGGGTCTAGGGGTTTTAGGGTTTAGGGTTTAGGGTTTAGGGTTTAGTTTAGGGTTTAGGGTTTAGGGTTTAGGGCTTCCCGAAACCCCCCCCCCCCTTTACAACCTTCACAACACCCCTGGATACCCTCGACCCGGTAGCGCTGGGAGCCGCGCTCACTGCGGAGCTGAGGGCGATCACGTTCAGCTCCACCTGCCTTCGTCTGCTCTAAGGGATGGGGTTTAAGGGACTTAGGGTGTATATAGAGCCTTTAAGGGTTTCAGGGTTTATCTAGGGCCTTTAAGGGTTCTAGGGTTTATGTAGGGCCTTTAAGGGTTCTAGGGTTTCACGTTCAGCTCCACCTGCCTTCGTCTGGTTTGGGGTTTGGGGTTTTTTTTGAGTGTTGCAGGGTTTTGGGGGTTTTGGGTTTGTTGCGAAGGGTTTTAGGGTTTTGGGTTTGTGTAGGGTTTTAGGGTTCAGGGTTTTTGGGGTTTTTTAGGGTGTTCAGGGCTTTCGGGTTGGCGGCCCACCCCTCAAGCCGCCTCGCCGCCATGACTTTGAGGAGCTGGTCTGCTTGGCGCTCCCGCGCCGCCTCTTCCTGGCTTGGGGGGGCAGTTTTGGGGGGTTTTGGGGGGTTTTGGGGGGTTTTGGGGCCCGGGGGGTTTTTGGGGGGTTTGGGGGGGGTTTTGGGGGGTTTTGGGGGGTTGGGGGGTTTTGGGGGGTTTTGGGGGTTTTGGGGGTTTGGGGTTTGGGACTTCGGGGCTTTTGTCTAAGGGTTGGGGGGGGGGGGGGGGGGGGTAGGGTTTTAGGGTTTGGGGTAGGGTGTTAGGTAGTCTTGTGGGCCTCAGGCCTTAGGCCTGGAGGGGTTCAGGGCTGTTGGGGATTTTGGGGCTGCAGGCCTTGAGGCGGTCATGGGTTTAGGTGTTTAAACACATGGATTTCAGTGACCTTGTGCGGTGCGTCTGGCTTGAAGGAGGGTCCGATTTAAGTTGCAGGGAGCTTTAAAACTGATTCTCAAGGACAACAGCACGCTTGCCTTTCAAGCTCCTTTCGGCTTCTTGGCCGAAGCCCAAACACCACAAGGATTGGCCAACCTCAACATGAAGCTTAAACCCCAAAACCCTCGAGAAGCTTGAAAGCAACGCTGCAGCAAAACCAAGCTGCTCAAGCATCCAGGGCTGGGCAACAGTTCACACTCTTCAGTAGCTTAGAGGACCCTTTTAAGGACCATTCCCTGAATCATGGGAGGGGTCTTGCCACAACTTCAGGAATCGTTCTTAACACCTGGACCGACCAATTTCGGACTAGCTTCAGGAAACTCAGAATTTTGAGGGCTCCTGAAGCAGAATCCTAGCTGTTTGAGAGGGGTCTTGGAAGCCCTGGGCAAGCGGTTTAGGGTTTAGGGTTTAGGGTTTAGGGTTTAGGGTTTAGGGTTTAGGGTTTAGGGTTTAGGGTTTAGGGTTTAGGGTTTCTAAGCGCCCGCGCCAGCGCGCCCAGGGCGATGCCAAAGACCGCTGGCCCCAGGGCCATCCCTTCGTCTTGCTTCGGGATGTAGGGATGTAGGGATGTAGGGATGTAGGGATGCAGGGATGCAGGGATGCAGGGATGCAGGGATGCAGGGATGTAGGGATGTAGGGATGTAGGGATGTAGGGCTTAGGGTTAAGGGTTTAGGGGGCGTAGAGGTGTAGGGGTGCAGGGGTGTAAGGCTGCGGGCTTATTGAGGAGTTCCTGGCACCCCTTGGACCTTGCACCATGAGAAGGTGCTCGGATATGTGGTGCGTGCTTGCATTTGAGGGTTTTTGGGGCGGTCTTGCCCGTCGCCCTAGGGCTGTCCAGGGTTGGGTAGTGGGTCCTCCCCCACACCAACTTCAAAATGAAGAATTTATCAATATGTACACATTGAAAGCTCTGGAACCCAAACCGATTCTGAACCTTCATCGCTGCCAGGCAGACTTGGGTCACCCCTGGCTCATCCCCACGAGATGTCTGCCCCTTTGCCAGGGTGGATAATTTAACCCTAAACTCCCCCCACCCCCTCTAAACCCTAAACCCTAAACCCTAAACCCCAAACCCGAAACCCTGTAGGGCTCAACTCGATAGTCAAGCAGCCCATCGACGTCTGGTGCAGTGCTGAGCCCGTGATAAATCATCCGCCACAATTGGCGCTAGGTGCAGCTGCTTGCAGCACTTTTGCTTCAAAAAGCCTGAGCAAGGCAGCCTTTCGTCAGGTTTTGGGTTGTTTTACATCACGGATTGCAGCCTCCTGTGATCTGGCCTTTGGGCCGTATGCTGTGTGGGCCAACAAGCACCTCGGGCAGCCAACGTCAATCCGCTGCCGGGCGAGCGGCTTCAGCATCTGCCGATCTTTGTCAGGCTGCTGACTTCCCCATTTGCTGCAACGCCGCCTTGTTGCCCAGTAGCCAAACCGTAGCAAGCTGTTCATGCCTTTAGGCTTGGGGGCACCTGGCCCCCTGAAAGCGGGAATAAGGGTGCCAATGATCCGGATAACAGGTTAGGAGCGGCTGGACAGACCCTCAACCCCATAGACCCTAACCCCCAGACCCTGCACCAGACGCTGCACCACCCCCCCCCACCCAAGCGGAGCCTTCTTCCAGGCCCTCATGCAGCACGGACAAGCAGCACTCCTGAGTCTGCTTCACAATGGGAACAAAAAGCAAGCGGTTCTAGGGCATAGGGTTTGGCATGCATTTTCGGATTTCCAATAAAGATGCGCTGCGATTTGTAGGTTTAGAGTTGAGAGCTCTAGAGGATCCGGCAGATTGCGGCTTGGAAGATGATATACCACAGACTGGACATTACTCAGACGCGACATGTTGAGCCTGCAGAAGACACTCTGCAGGGCTTGCAACCTTCTCATCTTCTTTCTGTTCCGCCACGCGCGGCCAACCCTAAATCCTGAGGCCGGATGCCGAACCGTGATTTTTCCATAAACCCTGAACCTTCACAGAACTTCAGATTTCACTGCCTGTGCAGGGTGAGAGGCCTCACCAGAAATCAACACCCGGCTCTAACCCGGGTTTAGGGCTTATCCCTAAACCGCCCTACGGCCCACTATGATGCGACCACAGAACCTAACCACATGAAAGCAAGCTCCCGCAAGACCCCAAAGTAGCCCTGAAGCTGCTAGCTCTAACCCCAAAGCAAACTGAAACCCCTAACTCCAAAGTAGCCCCAAACCCTTCCTCCCAAACCCCTTCTAAAACCGCAACCTCCTACCCCCCAAATTCCCAACCTAACCCCGAGCCCTAAACCCCAAACCCTAAAATCCCCAAACCCCAAACCCCAAACCCTAAACCTAAGCCCCAAACCCTAAACCCTGAACCCTGAACCCGCAACTCCCGCAAGCTTCTTCCAGTCAGGCCCTGGCCCAGCGCTGCGCCCGCGCGCAGGCAGAGATGATCGAGGCGTAGCCTCCGCATCCGCGGTTTTATTGGAGGGTTTAGGGTTTAGGGTTTAGGGTTTAGGGTTTAGGGTTTAGGGTTTAGGGCTTAGGGCTTAGGGCTTAGAGTTTAGGGTTTAGGGCTTAGGGTTTAGGGTTCAGGCTGTAGGACTCAGGATTTTAGGGCTTTAGGGAGACAGCCCTCAAAAAAGCCTAAGGTGTCAAGGGTTCACCTTTTTGATGGACTAGGCGACCCAATGTTCCCGCAATTCAACGTACACATTTCCAAGGTTCCCAACGCTTCACTGGGAACCTCCCCTTGAGCACCTCTTACCCTAAACCCTAAATCCCAAACCCTAAACCCCAAACCCCTCCCTGAATGACCTCATCCAGAACTTGGCTTAAGTAAGGATTTGAGGGGGAAAAGTGGGTCTGAGGGTTTCGGGCCTACAGGCTTCAGAGGCTTACGGTATAAGCTAGGGGCTGAAGAGTTTAAGGGTTTAAAGGTTCCAGGGTTTGAGGGGTTTGCGGTTCGCAAGCGACCGAGAGAAAAGAGGATCCCTTCTTTGCTTTACGGGTAAGGGAAACAACCCGTCTCTATAGGCTGAGCTCAAGCCCCCCCCCCCCCCCCGGAAGGGGTCTGTAAGCCTCACCCCCCTCCCCCGTTCGGCTGCGTGCCGGCTCCTTCGCTTAGGTCCCAGAGCACCCTGAGAATAAGAAGGAAACCCTTGATTGCTTCGTGTGTAGAAGGAAACCATCCTGAGGGCTCCCGAAGCCCCTAGACTTAGACCCTAAACCCATCAACCCTAGACCCTACAACCCCGGACTCAGCCTCCACACCCCGACACCCGAGAGCCCAGGGTTCGAGGGCCCTCGTAAGCGCCCGGCATCCTGAATCGGGCTGGAGTTGCGGCTGCCGGCGCCTCATTGGTTGCTTTGTTGTTGTCTTGTTTTGGGGGAGGGCGGGGGGGGGAAGGGTTCATAGGCAAGTATATATATATATATGTATAGGTAGGTAGCATAAACAGGGCTGTGCGCGATAGGCATAGGAGTCCTTGTAATTCTACGGGTCCCACGTAGCCCCTAACAACACCCATGAACTTCAAAAGGTTCTGGAGGTTTAGGGGTTTCGGGCACGTGGTGGGCTTGTCTGGGCTGTCACGCTCGGTTGTTCGAGAACCCCTGAGAGAACATGCCTGAGGCGTTGTCGTGCCCTGCGGAAAAGCATGAGACCAGCATGTAGGACTGTAGGGTGCTTTTGGAGTTGTCATCATCAGGGAGCGCCCCGGCTTCTTTTGTCTCACTCTGCGGCGGCAGGCTTCTTCCGGAGACGGCTGCAGAAATGGGGGGGCATGAGCTCCCTGACCAAGCTGGCTTGGCCCTTTATCGCCCGTCTGAAAAGATTCATAAGTATGATCCTCATATATAAAAAAGTCCTAAGGCCTACCTAGCAAGCTAAGGGATTTTGGAGTTAGGGGGTATTTGTCCATCTCGTTTGCATGGCAAATTTGTCCCATTCATCTGTATATTAATATATGCATATACACATGTATATTAGAGTTATTAGAGGCGGGGGTCCCAAAATGGGGGTACACTTTCTGGGGGTTTCTAGCATAAGGATTCTGACATGGGGGTATACACCCATCGGCAGAAGAATCTACGACACTCCCCCGACAAGCCCCCAGTTTTCTGCCTCCGTCCCAGGCGGGCGACCAGCAAGGTCCGTATTCGACCCACCGAGATCACCGGTAGAGGTCATGAGTTGTGGGAGGGCGGTTGGGGGCTTCGGGTTTCTTCCGAAGGATTTATGCTGCAGGCTTTGATGTTCAGGGATTCTTGTTTGAGGTTTGAGGGTTTCGGTTGCGACACCCTCCCAACAGGTTATGGTAGGTGCAGAGTCCCCTGGCACACCGAGTGGGAAGCAGTTGAGGGTGTGGGAGACGGGGGCTGACCTACATAGTGAGCTTCTAACGTCGCTTATTCTCTACATGGGCCACTTAAAAACCCTCTGAAAAGCGCATTCAAGTTACGACCCGTTTGAAGGCAAGAAAGGAAGACGAAACACCCCTTCTTCAGCGTAGGATGACCCCGAAGCTCGCAACCCTAAATCGCCAAGCCCCACAATCTAAAACTCCTACGTCCACCGTGTGTG